AATATTTGTGATTTTTCATGAATTTCAAAAAAACCCTAAAATGGCCAACTTCGGGCCCCTGAAAAAGAGTGATAGATGGTCCCAAAAATTCTAATAAAATTTGGGGACATTTCTGACATCGGGAACAGCAAGTTTTTCATATTTGCAGAAAAAAAATTTTTTTGGCCATTCGATTTCACAGAGAATCGGCCATATACTTATAAATGCTGTGGCTTATTATTTTAAAAGTTCTTAAAATAAAATTTTCTTTTTCTTTCAAGATGATCAATGCATTCCGAATATACATCTCAAGTTAATAAATAAATTGATAAAGCCAATAAGCCTATTTATAATGTTTAAACAAAACAGAAATGATCTGTTGTTGGCTTACAAAAAAATTAAAAATACTCAGAGCTTAATGTTACTTGTTATGAATAACCAAGTGGAGAAGAACCTGTAAATTTCTTTGTAGAAGTATTAAATGCAAAAAATGTGTATCATTCAAGAAAAAGAAAATTGAAAGGTCCTCAGAGAGAAATGATAAAAAATGAATTAAGGTGCAAGAAACCAAAGCAATGGCAGAGAGATAAAATAGCTGCAACAATGAAACATGGCGATTCTGAACCACCAAATTTGTTCAAACTCAGATCTCTGCAAAAATTATCTCAAAAAGTTAAGAACTCTGACTTGGGCATAGAAGAAAATGTCAACCTGCATGAATCCTTAAAAAAATTGAAACAAAGTTCAGACATGTCTAAATTTATCAAAAATATGGGATTTGAGTCCTTTTATGTGATGTACTGGTCGAATGAGCAGGTAGCAATAAGTAATAGTATAAATCTACATTTAGAAAATGAATTTTCCTTAGATGCAACTGGTTCAGTAGTGACATCAATTAATCAAAAGGGTTCTAAAGCTATTCATATATTTTTGACAGTCTTACTAACATATGTTGAAACAACGATAGTGCCAGTTGGTCAACTATTATCTGAAAAGAATGACACAAATATAATTGTTTTTTTTTTGAATGAGTGGCAGAAATCTGGAGCAAAGTGTCCCAAATCAATTGTCACTGACATGGGAAAAGCACTTTCAATATGCTGTTAGTAGATAGGATTGTTTCAAGAAAGCTAAAGAAAAAGTAAAAAAATTATATCTTCAATGTACAAGATTTATGACTGTTATAAACAATATGTCAAATTTTGAAGAGTTTTTGATTAATGTATTTACATTTGCTAGCTGTGAATATTTTGACCAAAAATGTCAACTAGCATCTGATTATATTTCAAAGCGCATAAAAACTTTCAAGTTTGACTCTAATACATCTGAAAAAATTGATGAATTAGCAGCAAACATAGTTGACAAAAATTTAAAAAACAATCAACAAAATCAACAAACTAATGAAGAAAATATAGATACAGATGATTCTAATTTAATTTGGAATTATATAAAAGTTCTTATTGAAGATGTCCAAAATAATTTAAATAAGAATGACAGTATTGGCTTGCAAAGTAATGATTATCATTTACCTGATTTTGTAGATAATTTAGCTCAACTGTGCAAGGAGTTTCCTTGTTTTACCAATTTGATGAGTTCTTATTTTAGTAATGAGAAAGAAGTTGCCTCTTCAGCAAGATCTGAGACGTAGTTTGGTCAAATAAAAAATTCTCTGCTAGAGGATCGTACTCCTTTGAGAAGTGATAAATTTATTGTTAAACATTGCAGACAAATGGACGTAGATATTAAAAAAGCATATAGCATGGTTGATAATTTGAAATGTAAACAAACTTTCAAAAGAGCATCAAAATCAACCAAATTGGATCACAGTCATCTTGCATACAATGACAACTGGAGAAACCAAAATCAAGGTGATTAAGAAGTCGTAGAAGCTAATTCTACAATTGATAATAATAAATCGGTAGCATCGGATCATGACTATAGTTATTCACATACATCAATAAATGATCACAGTCTTAATTATGATGAACTATTCGAAAACAAAAATCTTACAACATCATCAGATGTGAATGAATTTGGAGTAACAGTGGTATAATGATGTTGAAAAAGAATTAAGTGGATTTGATCAAATTCAATTTGATTTGCAGCCAGATTTACAGATATGGCAGGGTAATTTTAAAAACCAGGTAAAAAATTCAAAGCACTATTATAATATGAAATCTTGCACCAAGAATGGAACCAAATCAAATCCAAGAAGTCTCAATAGTCAAAAAATAATGGTCATACTTCAAGGGTCAAATACTTGCCCATTCGATTCCATAACTGAAGTACTTGCAAATAGTTGTTGCTTCCAGAATTTTCAAACATTTATAGATGGAAACGCCAAGAGTGAAGAACTTAAAGAAGAAGCTAAAAAAGCTAAAAAAGATAGGAAAAAGATAAAAACTCTTGAAAAGCCTCCACATTATGCAAAAGTTGTCAATCATTATTTTTTACAAGGGGCCACACCAACTTTTTATGCTTCTAGATTCCATCTATTGATTCCAATAATAAAAATTGAAGATAACACTTTGTAGTGCTTCATGAAAGTTAGTGAATTGTTTTCTATACTTATAAAACCATATGACAGTTTAGAAGAAAAACTTTTTTGTACTTGTTGCAATAAAGAAACTGTTACAAAGAAAATAGTGCTACCATTACCGAGTGAGTCAATTGTTTGGATAGACAAGTATAAGACCCTAGAAACTGAAATTAACGACTCCTTGCAAAGAAATGAGGTAACTTGTCCTAATTGCAACAGTTTAGCTTCAATAGAATATTCTAGTGCTGCACCATATCTATACATCAATACAGAGGATGCCTACAAAGAAAGTAAATTAACAAAAAATCTGAAATTAGATGCTTTAAGTCTAAAAACTAATTTGGAACATCTCCCACAAGAAATTAACGTGTTGGGATATCATTATTCGCTAAGTGGGGTAATTAGATATGATCCACCACAGAAAAATTTAGAGATCGGTCATTATGTTGCCTACTGCAGGACTGCAAGTGGTCAATGGATTGAAAAAAATGATTTTGAAGGTGTCAGAAAGAAATTGCATATGAAGAAGCTGCCTGAGGAAAAAATTTCAGCATTATTTTATGTTAATTGTGGAAAAGCAATCAAAGATGAGTATAATAATGGTTTACATAGTAAGCTATAATTTAGACAATTTTGCACTTTTAATATAAAAAAAATTTGATTGTTTTAATGGTTATTATTTAAATGTTTGATAATGTTTTAAAAGTAGGTAACACTATTTTAATAATATTGATATTTAGAATGTCATAAAATCATTGATACTTTCTTTTTTTAATTAGAAAATATATTAGTAAAATCTTATACCTCTTTTAATTAGATTTAGAGTTGGTTTTCAACAAACTTTTATAACTTAGTACAATGCTTGAAATTATTAGTACAATGTAAATGATTAATAGCAATTGCATCAAGTAAGTGGTACAAGAAATTGGTGAAAATTATTGAATAATTATCTTAGTTTTTTATTGTATTCTTATAAGTCTTAGCATACTGAGTAATTGAAAATTAAGTTACTCCAATACTGTCATCGTACATGCTTTTAGTCTAAATTCTTCTGCTTACATTGTCATTGTTCAAATTTGAATCAATAATATTAACTGACATTATATGTTTCAAATAAAATTTGATTTTCCTGAACATTTGATTTTTGCAGACAATAATAAATTCGCTGCATGAGTTCAAAATAAAGTTCTTTGTTAATTTTGCTTGGTGTAAGTTTAAAAAATTGAAAAAAATTATATTTCATAAATAAACACATGTAAATCAGTTTTGAGTATTGTGTATTACTGAAAAGATTATGATTTTTAACTAAAATATTGTAAATCAAGGAAATAACGCAGAATCGACTAAAGATTAAGCTTGTGATACTTACGAGAAGCAGCACGACGGAGCAGCTGAGTATCGTCACGGGTAGTCGGACGCGCCAGAACGGCACCCTCGGCTCAACGGTGTTCGTCACGAAGTTGACCGACTTCTTCTTCACGTGGGCCAGTCGGGCGAGATACTTGGGCCGCGGGTGCTCCTCGTGCACGTCGAGCGACGTCAAGTCCCAGCGATGCGTTATCTCCGCCGAGTAGTTCTTCCACAGCTCCAGGAACAGAGTGGCTGCGCGAAACAAAACACAAAAAAGCAAAGTTTTAAAATAAATGCAAAGAATTCAAACACGCCAAAAACTCGCGCGCTTTCGTCTGCTAGAGCGCGACGTAGCCTGTTTCTGCAATTAACCGCGAGAATTTTTAACATCGTCCATGGCGCAGCAGCCTAGCCAGCCACCCGCGAAAATGACAACAAGTCGCGCTCTGTTCGGTTTTTAACCTCGCGCTCGCAGCCGCTAAAAACAACAGACTGACAATAATACGGTTTACTCTGTGTGTTACAATATAGTGACAAAGTGTTTCTTCGTTATCGTCGTCGTTGAGTTTCATCGAGTTTATATCGTGCAAAAAAACAATCCACCATGGAGGAGAGCCCGGGCCAGTGGACGAACCCGGACCAGGTGATGAAGATGTTCAAGTTGAAGCGGCGCAAAGCCGCGCTCACGGCTCGCTTCAACAGTTCTCAGGACGGCTCGGCCAATCGCAGCATCAACAACGGATCGTCGCCGGGCATGTCGGCCGCTGCAACCAGCTCGCCGATACTCAACCAGAGCTTCCCGACCGCGAGGAAGCGCAAAAATCCATGGCTCAAGCAGGACCCGAACAAGCGACCGAAGGAGGACACACTTCAGCCGCCCCCGCCGAGCCTGCTGGACAGCGCCTGCGGGGACAGCACCTTCGACCTGCTGAACCTCGACAGCTCGGCGAGACCGGCCAGTACCAATACCAATGAGAACTGCAATAAGGTCTATGACATTATCAAAAGCTCGGAGGCCGTGCAGGCTGCAGCCGTGCAAGAGGAGGTCAAGGGTTCGCCCACGTTTCCCGTCAACTGGTCGCTGAAGACCAGGATGAGGCTAATGTCGCCCACGCCTTTCGGTTGGAAGGGCAAGCCGAAAGCCAGCGAAGAGGCCTCTGGTACCACTGGCTTTGTGAGGTGTCTAAACATTGGAGAGCAAGAAACCACTATCGATACTAGTCCCAATGCCAGATTTCACCAGTGCTGTTTAGTTTGGCAACATCCCTATATTTCTGGGAGGATGCTGTATCCAAGAAGCAAAAATTTAGTGAGTGTTTCTGGTTCAGCACCGACTCAGGACGTGAGGGAAGCTCTGTACAAGGACTGGCGCGACAGTTTCAGATCATTGTTTCATTTGCTGCGAGTCAGGCAGTGTCCTTTTTTTTATGTGTGTGGCTCGAGTTTCACAGCATTGTTCAGAGCCGCTGGGATCTGCGGTATTTCTGAAGTTCAAGCTCTTATGACACCTACCACTAGAGGCTTAAGAGAGTCAATGGAAAGTCAAGAAATTGAATTTACTATGCCGCTAAAAACCAAAACTAAAAAAACTCCTCTCAGTATCCTTGTGGATGACGATGATGATGATGATGATAATCTTGAACAACTGGACATTGAAGGAAATGACGAATGGATGAAAAGTATTGGATTTGATGAAGCAGAGAGAAGAAAAATTAATTTTTCACAAAGCAAAGTTGCAAATAGAAGTGAAGCAGACATAGATAGTAAGCACGAGTCATTAATTTTTGCTACTGGAGTCGAAGCAACAGGTTTATTTAATTTTCTAATAAATTGTAAAACAATCATCACTTGTTCTGGACCTTTTGCTGGAATACCTCCAACGTTGTTATCGCCAGTAGCTTTTAACAGTGCCACATTAAGACCTCTTACAGTCAGAGAGAGTACTGTCACTAATGGCTTGGACAAATATCATTCTCTAGAATTGTCTGGACCAATTTTACCTTTTGTGCTACCATCATTGTGTTCACTCATGGCAACAGATCAAATGGAGAAATTTTCAATTACTTATAAACAGGAATTGAATACAGTTGCTTTTAGTTTAGCAAAACATGGTTTAAAACCAGATAAACAAGTGCAAGAAGAAACAGATGAAAAATTACCTTCAATGGTCTTTGGGTTAGAAAATTTAAATGACTGTGGATTTAACAAAAGACTTTTGGAACACTTTTGTAACCCGAATCCAGAAAATATACAAAACTTTGACAGTTTGACATGTGAGAATCGCTTGTACAATTGGACTTGACATGTCTCAAATCTTTAATTATAGTTTCATAGAAACTTGACTATATAGAATAAGCTGAACTACTTGTTAGTTACATTTCTTAAAAGACTGTTAATTTGTAGTCTTATTATGAACAATAAGATAGTTATAGCTAGATTTTAAAAATTTACATCATGCAAGGCTGTGCTTTACAAGAATTTTATTAACATGCAATGAGTTAAGCAAAGTTATTCATCGAATAAGCAATGTGAACTTAACAAAGTTATGTTCAAACATATTCAAGTGTTCATAGAATTAATCAAAGCAAGTACTTACCCCAAAGGGACATGAAAACAGCGAAGAACACTGTGGCAGGATTATCAAACAAATAAGTGACTCTGGAGTGAAAGCAAGTGTCTTTCAAGTTCCAAGTGCTGCAAAAGTGATCGCAAAGTGCACACATCGTAATGTTGGAAGTGCATACATCATTACTGATTTCGTCCGAGAACAAAGTAATCAGACTATAAGCAAAGCACATGAGGCCTACGACGCTGGCAGATAGTAGCATGTGAGTGTAGAAGCCCAACCAAGCAAAGTAAAGGCCAATCTTTACTCCAAAGTACTCTTTTATGTAATCCAGCGGCTGATAATGGAAGCATTTTTTAATGCTCGCCCATTCTGTATATAGTAAATATCTCATCGAATCTTGAGTTTTTAATGTGCCCTAAAAAAAAATTAGAAGAAAAAATTTATTTCTACGAATTACAAGTGTAACGATTAACATGTGTTGTGTCATTAACTATTATTCGAGTAGCTTGATATAAATCAAATCAAAGTTCAAAATATTTTGTCCATGTATTGTGTTAAAAGTTCAAATTGTGCAACGTTCAGTCTTCGTCGTTAAACGCAATCGCCAAGCGAAATTTTCATAATAACATACAACAATAACCGATTATACTTTGTAAAAAAATTATGCGTCTCTCGTGAATAAATAAAATAAATCATTGAATTTGACAATTGCCCGATCAAAATAGCACGTTTGTCATTCCTTTTTTTCTCTCCCTTCAAACATGATCACGATCTACTCCTGCCACGCGGATTATATCGATCATCTTATGCACACATTGTATTACATGTTTATATAGCGGTGAGAAAATTTTCTCACGCTCCCAAAAACGGCATTTAAACTTTAAAGGACGACGACGAGTCGCGCGCAAGTGTGCGCGCAAACAATGAAAAATTGTATATTGTATACGGTTCGGAGCTGGCCTGCTGCGGATCTAACGCATTTTCCCCCCGTTTCAGAGATCGTCTTGTATCAATAATAGAAGATGCGTATACGCGTCTCGTCTCTCCTTTTTATTATTATATGTGCTGTGCTGCACGTGCGGAGGAGAGGGCCATGTGCGCGCGCGAGAGTCAACATAAGCTTGGAGAGAGAGAGAGAGAGAGAAAGAGAAGAGGGAGGAAATGAGTGACAGCAGGTGTGCGCACGGTGTTGTCCGCCTGCTGTCGCTGCTATATGGACTTTAAATGCCGTATTTTAAATTGTATACTATCCTATCGCCTTCTTAACGTTTTCTTCTCCGACGCAGCAGCTGTCTGCCAAAAAAAAAGGAAGGATTTTCAAAAGCGCACACTCACGTCGTGCAACGGATACGCCGCGGCGTAGGCCTTCTCGACCTTGATCAATCTCTCTATGCCGAAGGCGAAATCGTCGCCGCTGCCCGGCCCCACGAATCTCGTCCTGTCCAGTATGAACTGGACGATGCGCGACCTGATGGCCGGCGTGAAAAAGTCCCCGGCCTCGGTGTCGAACAGGTACTCCTTGTCGCGGCTGTAGACCGCGGTGAAGCGATGCTCCAGCGGTGGAAATATCACCGGGTTGACCTCGAAGCGGCCCAGGCAGCGGCGACGCACACGACGATTGACGTCGCGCAGCAGCAGTTGGCCCTTGTTGTTGGTGGGTAGACGGCCGCCGCCCCGACCACCCGGGACGTCGCGCATCGGCATGCGCAGCTTGAGGATCTCCGAGTAGCGGCGCAGCACCTCGCGCGGCGCCGTGATCTTGAAGAAGCGCAGGCCGTTCTGTCGTCGTCGTTGATGATGATGCTGATTGTTATCCACATCCTGGTCGTCGTCGTCGTCGTACTCGAGTTCGAGGCCCTCGGCCGCGAGATTGGCTTCGAAGATCTGAGAAAGTCGGATGACGAGAGCGATTAATGTAAGTATCTGGGAATCGATGATAATTTTTGTATATACCTTTCTCATTTCGGCGGCTCTGGGGGTGGCCGACTCCTGCTTGTAGCAGTCCCAGACGACGACAAAGTCGATCGGTCTGACGCCGTCGCGGAAGTACAGGCTCGAGGTGGCTTCGTAGTTCGAATACTTGAAACAAGCATCGCAATGCATTTTTTTTAGTTTAGACAGTTTTTAATCAACGACGCGATGATTGAGACGAAGGCCGGAATTTTTTTTGTAGAATTCTCTTTAAATAGTATGTATAATGTACCGATGATTGAGGAAATGTTTTTTGTGCCAGGTGGGCAAAGTGGCTAGGTGATTGTTTAAATTTAATGTTTTTTGTACCCAATCACACTTTTCGAGAACTTTACTGTGTATGTACATACTAATTTCTACGTACGAGATTAACAAAACGAAGACATTTAAAGCATTTAAATGATTTTGACATTTAAGACATTTAAATGATTTTTTAAAATTGTAATTATGAAAAATACAAAAAACATTTCTTTTCAATTTTGATTAGGGCATTTATTCAAAAAGAAACGCACCGTTGATAGTTTTCTTTAAAATATGAGTAGTAACATTAGTTTCTCGTTTGAAATCTTGTAAAATGATTACCACGCGACATGGAGTGATGTCTCAAGATTAATTAAAAAAAAATTGTTTTATAAAGTCAGTTTTTTTGATTTTACATCTTTAAAAGCTAAAGTAAAAATGAAAATTTTTAATAATTCGACTGCTATTGAACATTTAAAAGAAAAACTACGTCAATGTTTTTGTTTCGAGAAAATCCAGCAAAACTTTTCATACGTAACACGATGAATCACGATAAAAATTTCGTTTAATGTATTATACCGATAAGCCATTGTTGATGCGTTTGCCCAGACTCTCGCAGGAGCCCGTCATGACGTTTTCCGTCGCGCCATCCCGAATCTTCTTGTCGATCGTCGCCAGCTCGTCTATCACGAACGAGACGTCCTCGGCGTTGTCGTAGTGCGACTCGTTCACGGAGTTGCGGCAGCTGCCCGCGCCGCCGCCGCCGTCCGTCGAGAAGTAAACACTGGGCACGTTGCTCGAGCAGACGGTGTCGAACGAACGGTCCACCTCCGCCGTGTTGTTATTATTATTGTTATTATTGCTCATCCTCTCGTGATATCCCGCGGCACTTCGAAGGGGATGAAGTGTGGCGTTTATGAATCGCGTGTGACCATTTTTCGGCGATTACACTCGCTGATAAGCGCTTGCGCGCGTGAACGCGATACGTGCAACAAGTGCCTCTGTGTACTCTATAAATACAGCTGGGGAGCTCGGCTACTGTTTCCCATCATCAGTACTGCGAGCTACTGCAACATCCGCGGATCGCAATTGCCATCCGAACATATGCCAATTTGTTATATCTCGCGCAGTAGAGCTGTCTGCAGTAACGCGCGAGATAAATGACGAATGGCAACGACAACAAAAAAAGAAGATATCTTCCGTTCTTAGATAAGTCACAGCAACACTACTGTCTACCACACAAACGCAAACACACACATTGCTGCACGATCACCACCGTACACGCGAGATTCGAAAGCTCGCTTTAAGTAATAAAAGCACACACGAGTCACAACCATGTAAACGAGCCGCGCGCAGCACTCGCACCCTTGGATTCCAATATATTAATGAAAAAGCCGTGCCGTACGGCCTATTGTGCGTCCGCGAAAACGACGACGATGACCGGAGCTACTGTCGTTCGCTCCAAAATTAGTATAATCCAAAAATAATTTTTCGAAAAAGCGTCCGTGTGCCTTCTTCTCTCGGCTCTTTCTCATTCCACTATACTACGTATAATACATGATAACCATGCTACTGTATATAACGTCGCGAAGCTCCTCGATTACGTATGTTTCGGCCTCTTGTGTAATTAGTTGCGGCCGCGAATTATTCCTCTCGTTTTTTCGCGTTGTACTTGAGATTGCTGACATATTTCTGTACATTGGCCCCGATTGACTTATCGATGAAATTAGCTTATACTTTCTTACTCGCTTGTCGCTGATCGGCTGTAATGCCAAGGTGATGATCGCCTGCACGATGATAACCCCTGATGCAACGCACGCATTATAATACATTACTTATGTCAACACTGTGTGGCGTGTGCGGTTAAATTAAAATTATAGCAGAAAGGAAAGTAGACGCGTCCGACGACGACGAGACAAGATAGAAGGTAAAGAGGTTAACGATTCGTCGCGCAGAATCAGTTTGTTGTTGCACATTGCACACGGAATTCGAATAATGAGAAAACTAAATTGATAGTATGGAATGAATATATGTATATTTTTTAAACAATTTTTTTGTTTTCTTCCTTTGAAGAAACAGTATAAAGTTTTACAATTACAATACAATTACAATGTATATAAAGTGGCTAGCACTTTGTGACTGGCTTTATATAAATTCAATTGTTTATAATTTAGAAATAGTTCATTGACTTATATTTTAATAAGATCTACATTTATATATGTACAAGATTCGTTTAGTTTTATATAAATTCTTTCGGTATTTTTCTTTTCTCGTTGAAAAAATATTTTCTCAATAATAATGAATATTGAATAACATACTGTTGAAAAAAATACAGAAAGAGCAATATCATTTGCATAAAAAAAATGGTATTATATACTTTGTACAATTGATAATATTTAACCAATTAGTTTATACTTGTCAGTCATTATTTTGGAAGAACAATATTCGAAGTCCTTTGCTATACTTGCTCGTGCATTACCAAATTGAGCTCGTCTTCACCTGGACAGAGCACCGAGTCAATGTTGTAGAAGGCTGCGTGCAGAGTTATCAAAAAACATGACACTCCTAAAACAATAAATATCCAGTATTAGTGTATCCAATAGTTAATAAATTAATAAGTCTAGACATAATGTGTACATACCTAAGACCCAGAACAGCGCAGCAGGAGCTCCAACTAAGTAGAATATTGGTAGAGATGCGATTCCTATACCGGCGTAGACTTGCGCAAGCGTCAATCTAATGTTCAATAAAATCAATTCCTTTCTGGCGTGTATTTGTGATACTTTGTAACAACTTCCTAATAATAAAGTAAGTGCCAACAACAACAGTGGAGAAGTAATACTGCAATCAAAAAAATTAACAATGTATAAACTTAATACATATATAATTGTAATCCACCCAACGCTTTCACTGCGTATGCTTTCACACTCACAGGCAATAGACAAAGAGACCGATGAAGATGAAGAAATAATTGCTCTGGAAGTACTCGATGTTCTTCATCACTCTCTTGGACAGACGTGGTATGCTGGGTGGCAGCCGGACGTTGTTAGTGTTGACGAACAGAGTCCAGGGTCTGATCTGTGCCCTCTTGTGCTGGAACCATTCCTGAGCTTTGACGTATCCCGCGTGGTCCAGCGGCAAGGGTGGAAACCTCGGTATCTCGGATCTGAACACAGTAAATCATATATTGCATTATACGATGCGCTACCAACAATATGTTCGTGCTGCGGTATCGCGACGTTATAAACAAATGATAAAGCGATAAAGAACCTCGACGATTGTGACGTATACACGCAGCTCTCTTAAATATATAAACAAAAGTGTCTCGAACGCCTTACCCATTGTGTGTAAAACCGCCAGCGGACTCGTTGGCTTTGTAAGAGTCCTCGATCTCTCCGCTAACGTCAATCGCAACGTCGGCCATATCTCTCTGGGGACAGAATTGCACACGCACCAATGTAGCACCCGCAAGGGCTCCGAAGTCCGAGGGTTAATCGCTAGATAATAAACAGACAAAAAAGTGCAGACTCCAGTCTCCAGCTGATTATTTCACAACATACGCATGTACGCGTTTACGTATATACGCGTAAGTGTGCGTGCGAGATAGGTATGCGTATCGTACACAAATCGCGAAACGTGTAAACTCTGCTCTCCGCGGTTTACATTTGCTGTGCCGTCTGCGCTGCGCGAATTGTGAGATATAGTCATAGATTCTGCACACTGTACAGTGCTGCTGCCTGCGCACAGTATATACAACAACTCGCTCGAAATCAGCTGGAGCGCTTTTTTGATTAAGATGATCCTAGTATATACAACAACTCGCTCGAGATCAGCTGGAACTTTTTTGATTAAGTTGATCCTATATACATGTGCGTGCGACTAGAAAATAGATATATAGGTTATGAATATATGATATATGGAGAGCCACGAGGATTCGGGAGTGTCGAATTAATCGGGCGGAGAAAGAGAAAGTTATTCTTTTCTCTGATGATGTCGGCTTTCTCTTAATTTTAGAATTAAAGAGCAGCAGCACGTGGGGCATACATGCATGGAGAAAATAAATTTAAATACGAGAAAATTAACGAATTACAATTTTTTATTTATTTATCTATTCAACATTTACATCGTCGTTCTTAACATTAATTTTAAACAATTATTTACATCTTTAAAAGTCCAGCTTGTACTCTTCTTCCGGCGTCAGCTCCTGGTGCGGGTGCGACGGGCCAGCCTCCCGCTGGGTCTTCGCTCGTTCCTTGGTGCGCTGCGCGGCCAAATTCAAATCTGCGCCGTTCGCCTGCAGCGTGCGGACCGCCTTGGATCTGTCGTACCACCAGGCCAGGCTGAGCGGCAGCTCGCCCGTGAGTTTCACCACCTCGTCGGGATCGCGTCCGAACTCCAGGTACACCTTCACGACGTCGTTCAGGCCGAACTGACACGCAACGTGAAAATGCGTGTTGCCAAACAGGTCGACGTAGTGCACGTCCCGACGACTGTAGATGCGAAACAGGCTCCTTACCAGACGTTTGTCGCATTCGGGATTTCTCGATGCGTGATGCAGGGCCGTGGTACCCGTCGCCACGAGATGTGGCTCCTCGTTGGCTTGGCTGTCGTCGAACTCCCAGTGGCAGTCGGGCTGGTCCCTGTAGTTGCACAAGTTGGCGAATTTCACGAACCTGCGTCCCATTTCGTAGTAGAAGTCGTTGCGCCGGCTGAGAGCGGCCTTGTCCATCGCGTAATTTATCTCCTCGCGGCTGAAGATGGAGCGGAGGTTGAAGCCGGCCGGGTCTACGCACCGTTCGATGGCCCAGTCTACGTGATGGAAAAATTTCACCCGGTGCTCTTCGATTTCCCACTTGATGAGTTTGCGTTGAGCCGCCACGAAGAACGCGAAGTGTCCGATCGACATTTTCAACCTTCTTACCATATTTCGGCCTTTGAACTTGAAACAATTTCACTGAATTTAGAACTTTTAAATGATTTTACAGGAGCTACACGAGTGTTGCTTCTGTGCTGTCGGCTCGCTGTACGAAGTCGTAATGCCCGTAGCACGTTGTCGCAACGAGGCCTTTAAAAAACATGTGCTCGCTAGCAGAAGGCGGTTACGACCAGATGCGCGCGCCTCGCTTTGGGACTCAAAAAACGCGTTGCAAGTTGCAACACGCGCGCGCATAGACCCTGTGGCGGCCGCAGCTGGAAGCTATCTCATGAGCCAAGGCGGGACCTCTTTGAAAAGTTTGGGTATATCGAAAAATAAGACTTACTTATTTTGCATATCGATGCACAATGAAATTATATACCGCAGCTGCTGCTTTTAATAAAATGAAAAAAAAAGATATTATATTTTTAATCATTTATATTTATATTGTTTCATGTGCATCACTCATGCTATAAAACTTGTTCAAGAGGATCAGACCTGTGTTTATGCCTATAAATGCAAAAACATGAAAATGAAGGATTAACATTAACATTTTTTGTTTCTTATGTTAAAATATGTTTTTACAGGTCCTTTGACAACAAAAAATTTGTCTGTAGTTCATTTTAATATTAAAATTCAATCAGGATTCATATATATTGACTTGTAATTTTTAGGTTCTTGAACGCATGATGTTGAATGCAACATTTAATCAATTGTATTCCTTTGGATCTCAAAAGTTTTGTAATTAAATTATTTTCCACTTAAGTGTAGCAGATTTTTTATTTAGTCATTTTTTAAATCTACTAATCTCCAAATATAGCAATAAGCAACAGCAATAATTATTAAAATAGCTATGTTTGTCATTTTTTTATGCTTTTTTATGAAAACAACGTCCAAGCCTTCTCTTCAAATTCTGCTATACTTAAGTGGAAAATAATTTAATTACAAAACTTTTGAGATCCAAAGGAATACAATTGATTAAATATTGCATTCAAAATCATGCGTTCAAGAACTTAAAAATTACAAGTCAATATATATGAATCCTGATTGAATTTTAATAATAAAAGGAACTACAGACAAATTTTTTGTTGTAAAAGGACCTGTAAAAACATATTTTAACATAAGAAACGAAAAATGTTAATGTTAATCCTTAATTGTCATGTTTTTGCATTTATAGGCATAAACACAGGTGTGTCTCCTTAAAGTAAAAACAGCTGAATTTACATAATACGCGAGGAACTAGCTGATTGATTTCTCGTTTTTTCATCAAAGAATAACAAAAAAATGATCACGATGATCTCTGTTATATTTTTTTTCTTTGAAAAAAAAAATGGATAGAACATAAGGGATATATGTTGAACGTAGTCTTGACAAACAACATATGGCACGTGCTGCATACATAAAAATATGTAACCCTCGTATATATGTACATTGTATAGCAGTGCAATTTGTGTGCGCCGATTTTATACATATCCTGTCGGAAACTCTCACAAGAGAAAGAGAAGAGGAAGAGGGATTAAAACCAGGTAAAGTTTATTATTATACTGCGTGCATGTACATTCCTCCGCAGAAATGAAATTTAATGTTTATATTGTAGGTACGACAAAACTATAACGTATTCTTTTGTTTGTTTGGTTTTTTTTTGCATAAGAGGAATCGAATTTCCGTATATATACTTGAAAGGTGAACGCGCAAGCAAGTGCAATTCGAATCTTTGCTGTGTACTGTCAGTCCGTAGTGCTTTTGGGCGCAAAACAACAGGCAGCTACAGGCAGTTATTTTTGAAGCCTTCGAGTGCTGTTTACAGGCAAAATACGTGTTTTGTGCATACAGTCTTACTTCGCGATTAATTTGTTTTCCCACCCAAGCATCTCATGTATTCACTCGCAGCTACTTTTAGCACTGATAAAAATTCCTATTGATTGAAAATCAAAAATTCTTCGATGATTGCTATTATACACAGCAAAAGTTGACACAGTCAAATCGTTCAATAATGTGTGATACAATCTGCTGAAATAGAAAAACGAAATCTTTACCCTGCAGCTGATGTTTTCACGAGTTCACACTTCACGGCGCTGCGCTATGATGAGTCCGCCGGTGTGCCTGTCCTGAATCTCCTCGTGCTACAGCGCGTGTGAATGCTCTCTCTCTTTCTGTTTTTCTCCGCGCTCGTGTTCGGCCGCCTACGCATCGATAGATACACAGGCTCGAAATTAAACACATGTGTGTAGCGGACGTGGCGCGCGAGAACCACGTTGCTATAAGGATTATTTTTTTATATCTCTTTAAGCTATAGGATAAATAAATCAACAAAATGGTGAGTTTTTCATGAGATTCTAATAGTTATTTATACGATACTGTGGGAGTTTTGTAATCGCTGTTGTTCGTTGAAAAATTGTCAAAAGTTTACGAGAACATAACCCTACCGCTCACGTGGTCGGCGCGTGCGATCGGCTTTACAAAAAATGATGATTACATTACGCGAGAGTTATTTAAAATTACATAGACAACTATGATGAATTAATTATTAATTTTACGATGGCTTTTTTGCAGTCGAAACTAATGGTACTCTACGAGCACGCCGCTGGCTACGGCTTGTTCTCCGTGCGAGAATTCGAGGAGGTCGGCGTGCTGCTGCCCCAGGTCGAGGCCTCGGTCACCGATGTCTCTCGATTCAATCAGATCGTGAAATTGATCAGTTTTTCGCCCTTCAAAACGGCCGTGACCGCTCTGGAGAACATCAACAGCGTGTCCGAGGGCGTAGTGCCCGAGGACTTGCAATTGTTCTTGGACACGAATATAACGAAGAAGAAGAAGACGACATTGGGTGTAGCAGAACCCAAGCTAGGTGCCAGCATCACAGAGGCACTGAAAATTAAGTGCGACCACACTGGTGCCATACCAGAAATAATCAGAGGCATTCGTGCGCACTTTGCCAATTTGGTAAAGGGTTTCACAGCCAAGAGCGCTGGCATTGCGCAGCTTGGTCTGGGACACAGTTACTCCAGAGCCAAAGTCAAGTTCAACGTTCATCGTGTTGACAACATGATCATTCAAAGTATCGCTTTACTCGATCAATTAGATAAGGATGTCAACACTTTCAGTATGCGCATCAGGTAAAAATTCAAAGCCAGTAACATTATACAATTTATTTCCTAAAATGTACTTTTATTAACAATGATGTTTTGTTTTTAGAGAATGGTATGGTTATCATTTCCCAGAGTTGGTTAAAATTGTCCCAGACAATTTGATGTACGCCAAAGTAGTCCAGCTCCTTAAAAATAGAAAAGAATTGACTGATGAAAAATTAGAAGCTTTAGAAGAAATTATTATGGATACAGGAAAAGCCAAAGCAATAATTGATGCATCAAAATCATCCATGGGCATGGATATTAGCCCCATTGATCTCATTAACATTGATATGTTTGCTAGTCGTGTCATTGATCTTGCTGAATATAGGAAAGAGATCGCTGAATATCTTAAATCAAAAATGACTGGTGTAGCACCAAACTTGGCTACATTGATTGGCGATCAAGTAGGAGCTAGACTTATTGCTCACGCTGGTTCTTTGACTAATTTAGCTAAATACCCAGCATCTACTGTACAAATTCTTGGTTAGTATTTAATCTCTAGTTTAATTGAATAGTCATAACTAATAAACAATTTATAAATCTTTAATTGTATATAAACAGGTGCTGAGAAAGCTTTGTTCAGAGCACTCAAGACTCGTGGAAATACTCCAAAGTATGGACTTCTTTTCCACTCTACATTTATTGGACGCGCAGGCACAAAAAATAAGGGTCGCATTTCGAGATATTTGGCCAACAAATGTTCGATAGCATCCAGAATTGATTGTTTCTCCGAAAATCCAGTTAACGTTTTTGGTGACAAATTACGCCAGCAAGTTGAAGACAGATTGAAATTTTACGAAACAGGGGACATCCCTAAGAAAAATATTGACGTGATGCAAGAAGCTATTGAGGAAGCTGCTTCTAAGGTACCAGCTAAGGAAGAGAAAGAAAAAAAGAAAAAGAAGAAGAACAAAAAGAGGACCATTGAAGAAGTTGAAGCAGAGTCTGTTGAACAGGAGTCTGTTGAGCCAGAAGCACAAGATGAAGTGGAAGATGTTAAACCTAAAAAAAAGAAATCGCGAAAATCTACATCGTGAAAACTTTATTCGATGCCCCCTTACTGCTAGGAACCAGTCAAGGGGGCTATCAAATTAGTATTAAGGTCTAGTTATATGTATAGATTTCGAAGAGATTTATTTTTTTTTTTATATATTTTTTTGAAAAAATCACAAGGTGCATTGTACATCATACCGTGAGCATTAGGCATTGTTATTACTTTCAACAATTATTCTTAACTTAATTTCTGTTTCGTTCACATACACAACATTGTTTTTCATCGCAAAGCTATAGATAGTTTATCGTACTTCAATTCTGCAAACTTTTTTCTCAACTACAATAGCAACTAGGCCTGATACTAACGCGTACAATCGACACCAAAAAAAATCTAAAAAAAGCAACATAATCTCGTTTAGTTTCATCGCTTCTCGAGGTTACTGGTGAACACACCTACCAGGGATAAGTGTGGGTATATGACGACATTTTTTGAAAAACGTAACCGCGGCCTATCGTTCCCGCGTCTCGACGCGGATGTGGATAAGTTGCTCGCGGTATAAGTTAGCATATAAGTCGTAGTCATAAGTTCAATTGAGTCTAATCGAGACCGAAGCCCAAATTCGAATTGGAAGAAAGGATTGAAAATTTCCAACTTCCATTCTGGTTTGCGGATTCTCGGTGAATCGAAGCGATTTAAGTAGTGAAGACGAAATGTATAAAGTATCATTATATTGTAGACGAAAAGTATAAAGGATCATGATATTTTCCATGTCAGTTGTACAAAACTGTTAACTTGATGTTTTAGATTTATACAATGTAGGGAGTTATGAATTGTAAATATTAACTGTAAATATTAGATAATAAAACTTAGTTTGTAAGAAAAAAACCACTTTTTTCATCTCTCTGTCATTTCGAAACCAAAAAAAACCCTTTGAAAAAAAGTAACAAAACGGAAATATCGCAAATCGGTCGAGTATTTAAAAAATCCCATCGCGGAAGTACCAAGCGCCGCGATTTTCTGCCGGAGTCTCGCAAAACTCGCTTATCGCCGGGCATGTGCTCCGATTCTCTGCATTATATTCGAGCGTATGTACATATGACATACGATCTTTTATATAAAGTGCGTATAGCGTATACAGTACAAAGCAGCGTGTCAATGGCTCTCGGCTAGTAGCGCATTTAAAAATCCCAACAAAGAATCAATCTTTCTTTCTCGGTACTGTATATCGTCGCCCCAGCGCAGGAAGGTATCTATTTCCAAGCTGCAGCAAGAAGGATACTTACTCGTGCGCAGAGGCAAAAAGGTATCTAACTCGAGCGCAGCGGCAAAAAGGTATCTAATTCGAGCGAGAAGCAAAAAAGTAGCTTATTCAAACGAAGTGGCAAGAAAGTTTTGACGCGCTGAATTTAGGTTGGCAACGGAGCCGTAAATGATAAAATTTTGTTTCAACATTCAACATTCAACGTTTAATTCAAAGCTATATGTAAAGCCGATAACTTCTACTCCTCTCAGAACATAGAAAGTTCTCCATAAGAGGCATATTGAGTCGAAATCGCGGCGAGATTGATTTGTTTGCTCGCATTTCAAATAGATGAAACTCATTACACTAGCTCAAATGTTTTTCCTCTTTTTTGCTCTAATACAAAACAAAATTTTATCATTTACGGCTCCGTTGCCAACCTAAATTCAGCGCGTCAAAACTTTCTTGCCACTTCGTTTGAATAAGCTACTTTTTTGCTTCTCGCTCGAATTAGATACCTTTTTGCCGCTGCGCTCGAGTTAGATACCTTTTTGCCTCTGCGCGCGAGTAAGTATCCTTCTTGCTACAGCTTGGAAATAGATACCTTCCTGCGCTGGGGCGACGATATGTATTCATATAAAAATCCAAGGCGTCTTCTGAATTTTATCAAGGGGGAGAGAGAGACAACGTCTGTGCGCGTTTTGTGCTGCTGCTACTGCTGCTCGCGAGAGATCTTGGCTTTCTACGCACGCACGCATACAATATACGTCTTGAAGAAGAAAAAAAAATTAAGAAAACGAAAAAGAGAAGGCAAGAAAGAAATATATACGTGTGTAACGTATGTACAGACGCGTTTTATACGCGCGTGTATAAGTATTGAAAGGCGCAGGTTGCAGCTGCTGTTTAGGCCCTTTTTATTATTATATTTGCCTCCCTCCTTGGAAGATATCTTTCAAGACGTTGCTGCGCGTTGTTGGGGTGGCGTACCTATACACGCACGCACACATTGTATAATGTAGGCGAGTCCCCACGCACACTCATGTGGTACATTTTTTCCTTGGTACACACACACACACGCGCGTTTCAAGTATTATTGCCAATTTTTTTCTCTCAAGACGTTACTTAGGTATATACGGTATTTTTTTGGCGAACATCGCTCGCGAGCTGCTTTGTTTGAAACACGCGCTAAATACTTATCGGTTCGACGCTAATGCGTCCGCGGTATAGAGGTGAAAGTCCTCGTCGACCTTTGAGTACATCGTATATACGAACACCGAATGTGCGACAAAAATGTCAAAAATTATTTCGGTTATGTTTTATTTTTTTATTTTTGCGCGCGTCGCCGAAAAGGCGATTTTTTCCACGCGTCGTTGTATTCCAAGAAGAATCCGATAGTGGCGCATTTTTCTGGGATATCGCTCGAAGGGGGAGTGAAAAAAAAATTGATTCTCAAATTTAATACGAAACGAGTACGAGCATATTAAAGTAGCGATCTGCGAAGCTCAAAATATTCGCAGAGAGAGAAGCGTGTGTATTCGGATGCTGCGTACACTTTTTAAATAAGAGAACGAGCGTACCATACGAGCCACGTTTTCGCTCTCCTTCTCCTTTTTACTACGTGCGTAAAGGCCGGCACATATAAATATTGTAGTACGATTTCTCGGAAGCGACACGACCACGCCGTACAAACGCGTGTAGTAAAAAAAAAAAATCTGCGTATTATTCGAGATGTGTGTGTGTGTATAAGAAGAAAGAAGATCGAGAGGAGTACGAGGAGGAGGAGAGAGAACACGTGTGTGCCGCGCAGCGCTACACACATCAGCATCGCTGTAAAAAGATTTCGTAAAAAAAAATAAAACAGCACACAATGATGCCGATATTATATAGTGTATAGGCTTTGGCCTCGAAAATAGTTAAAAGAACGAGGCGCGGAGAATTATTACGAGAACCTGTTTTTTCCTGCGCTTTTCGGTATATGGATATATTTTCGTGTCTCTCGCGTTCATAATAATACACAAATACACAAATGTGGGACACTATACACAAAAGCTCGTGGGGGAGGCGCGCGTGCCCATATATGGAGTTTCGTTTGATATACTCACGCACTTATACTCGCGCAACATAAGTAAGTACGAAGCGTCATTGAGTAAGATTACGCGACGATGTAACAGTTACGGAGACAGATTTTTTTTTCCTCCTTGTAATCGCGATGATGTATGCATAGGCAAACGTGACTTTTACGAGCTTCCCCTATATCGTGATACAATGCCCCAGCGTTAACCGCGGATCGAATTAAATTGCACTTTCAACGGCTGCGATAAATTAAGTACCGATAAAAGGATTGTTCGAACGCTCGAATCGTCCGATATAATTGGCCCCGAAAAATCGGTTACAAAACTCGGCCCGCGCGCAGCTTGCCTACCACCACCACCACCACCACTAAAAAAACCAAATTAAAGCCTGCAAGCGCTGCAGCACGCGCGCAGAGAGTGCAGCAACAGCAACAGCAGCAGACAAATAAAAGTACAAAAATCCGGGCGTCAGCTGCGCTTTCGTCCCTTCACCTGACCAAAATGAAAAAAAAATATATGTATTAACACGCGAGAAACGTTCGAGTTAAAAAAAAAAAAGCTGCGCGCAAGGTGCAGCAGATGCGCGGATACGTATCTGACGTACGGTGATAAAATAGGAAGAAGAAAAAGAAGAAAGAAACGGAATTTATAACGAGACGAGCGCGTGTGAGTTCGTTAAAGCCGCATCGACGGATCATCATCATCGGTGTGATAGACGTTTGTGCTTGTGTGTTGTATTTATAAACAACTACACCATTGATTAGACGCTCGTCGAGTGGTGTGTCTATAATAAGTCCTATACACAACCATTAGAGGTTCTTCATGTATTTATAGTGCTGTGAAGTCTTCGCAGCTTGGATATGTGTAATAGTGGGCGTGATGTTTTCGTGTCAAAAATACACACACTGCACCAGGCATTTAAATAGCTATGTATACTACACACCAAAAGGAATCATCCTGATGCAAGTCTCCTCCCTCGCGCACAGAGCTTGTTTAAAAAAAAAAAAAAAACCGAGTTCGAATGTGTAAATAGACAGAGTCACTTTGAAAATGAGTAAGCTCCTTGTATTCGTACATCGTAACTTAAATATAAGATTATAACGGCGTAGAGTCCCAACAAAGAAGAAGAAGCTACATTGAACAAGTCGCGACGCGAAACGAATATCATTATCATCGATTACGAACGCAACGCCTCGTAATGTATGACTCGTATATTTTCATGTTTTTGAATAGGATAGTATTCGCGGAGGAACTATGGCAAGGGGGGGATTATACTACAAGGGCGCGCGCAGGCGCAGACCTGCTTCTATATGGCATTTATCCTATACTTAACACACGGATGTAGGACGAACTTTATATATTCTCGGCTATCTAGCGCACGTGGTGGGTAGCTGCTACTGCTGCGGGCATAGAATACAGACTCGGATCGGAGTTTTTAACGGTTATTCCCAGTCGCGCGGCGGCTGCGTGCCGCTTTTTGGGATAAGTATATTGTAGCACATGAACGATGCTACACATCGTATTATTAGCGCGATGACGACGGGAGATCTGCTGCTGCTGCTGCTGCTGTCGGATTTTCCCGTACTATCATTTGCAACGAGACGTTAATGAAAGAAAAATATATGTCAGCGCGGCGTGTCGTGCTGCTGCAAGCATGATGCACTGGACTCGTATCGCGATCGCGCGCCAGCATTTTGAAATTCAAAAATGTTCGATTGGATCGTTATATCTCGCTGGAGGAGGGTAACAGAAATCATAGAAGCGATCTATACGAGCGATATAAGTACCTACCCAATTAACAAATTTATCACGCGCATGTCGATCATCGACCCGCGAGGGGCGCGGATTTTTTTTTTTAAATCCAATACTTCCGCGAGTAGCTGACCACGTGCGCTCATAAATGACCGGCGTGCGCGTACATCCTTTATTCAAATTTATATTTGGCTCGGCAGCCGGCGGAAAAGCAACAGATGACCTCAACGCGATATATGGCGATACACATGCCCCGTTCATCTATCTCTCTCTCTCGTATAATAATAAAACTGCACTGCAGCGGCGCTTGCACGCGCGCATGTGTGTAACGGACTTTCACACGCTCATATACTACCGGCGCGATACACATATTATAAATATTATTATATGTGTGTATGTGCGTAAGTATGCGGCGCGGCCGTCTCTTCGATGACCCTTTGCAGCAGCGGCGCGCACGTTGCAACAACCCCTGTGCCTCACGCTGCATTTCTCGTGCAACCGAAAGTCGGCGGCGCGCGCTCGTTCGCCGGAATTTTGTGCAATGACACGACGCTTTTCGTGGAAATCAGGGCCACGCGCGACGAGACGAATTTTGCGAATTTTATCACGATGCGAATCTTCTACTATATAATAGCCCTCGACGATGTCGTCATCGTCCGCAATGATCATCGTCGTCATCCGTATATATATGCGCGGCCCGGCCCGCACACAAGAAGAAAGAGAGAAAAGAATACACAAGTGTATCGATGCTGACGCGATGTTTCCGAAATGTTCGACCGCATCGTCGGACCGCCTTATACAGCTCCAACGTTAATGTATAATATTTTTCGACCATGAGGAAGATTGAAGAAAATATAAAAAAAAAAGAAAAAGAAAAAGGGGGAAGAAACTTTCGAGACGTATTAACCCGTGTGCCGCTGCGGCTGCTGCAAGAAGGGGTGGGGTGAATAAGGCAGCTACATATGCAGCAGCGCACGAGTTACTACCGGCCATTTGCAACACACATTTTATAATACATGTATATACAAAGAAAAGTGGCAGCAGCAGCGTCGAGCAGGCAGCATATACGCACACACACACACACACACAAGCTCGCCGCTCGGATATACCCACTACCTACTTCGTATACAGTATATAGTTGTAACCGTCGAAATTTTTCAAACCCCGGCGCCCGATTGGTCCGCTTTCGCACCGGCAGCCGCCGCTACCGCTATATCCATTGAATAGACTGGAGCAGCCGCAGCGGCGGCGGCGGCGATCCTGTCTGTGTCTATATGCGTGTGCGTGTGTACTACCGCACGAACAGCACGTTGAAATTATTCTTGTGTGCACGCGCGTATAGCATACGTATATATCGGCCTTACTACTACTACTACTACTACACAAGCTGCTGTTGCTGAAAACCCGATGCTCTCTCTGCTTGTATTATAAAAGTTATGTACGAGGCACAGCTTGCTTGCTTGCGCTGCTGCTGCGGCCCAGCAGTACGAGATTCGCCGACGAACGTGTAGTGCGCGCGCGGCGTCCCAATATACCCAACATTATAACACGATAGATAAATAATAATAATTTTGTGTACACGCACGGGGTACATGTATATATATACACAAAAGCAAGAGAAACAATTTGGAACTATTTTATACGTTTTATTTTAATATTTTGTACATAACAAAAAACAAGCAAAAAAAAACAACGTGTTAACGCGATATATTTATTTTGTTTTTTATGAATAAATATATCTCGAACCGATCAACCTAGCCCCCCACTCGTTCGGTGTCCTTGTGAGTGATACAACAAAGTTCGAAGCAAAGAAAGAAAGAAGGAAAAAGTGTGTGGTAACATAGTATAAAAAAGGCAGCGTTTTTATATCGATTTATATATCGTCGATCGAAAAGTGTCTCAGTGTGTGTGTGTGTTGTGTTTTATCAGTGACGACATCCACCCTCTCGTCGATGATAAATATAAATAAATAATACGTTCATCGCTGCTTCACTGCTACTATACGCATACATATAGCGCTGCGGCTGGGCGATATATCCTCGCAGCCTATATACTACTACTACCTACCCCCCCTTCTCACACGCTACTGTACTACTACTGTACGCGATCGCGAGAGGAAGGCAACACAACGCACGCAGCACGGCTCTCGCAGTTTTTTTTTGTAACTCCGGAGAAAAGAAGAAGAATCGATTGATACAAGAGTGTTTTGATAGATTTTTTTTTGTTTTTTTTTTATCTATACAATAACGTATATCGGATATCTTTTTACAATATACCGATATACGTGAGCCAAGAAGAAGAAGAAAAAGAATAAGATGATATAATTGTGTGATCTTTTTCAAGTTGTTATTTGTTGTGAGTTTCATACAAAAAAAAAGTAAAAAAAGTTGAAAAAAAAAAAAAATTATACACAGTGTGCAGTGCTCGTTTTGTATACGGTGTACGATACAAGAAGAAGAGAAAAAGTGTAGCGCATCTAGTAGTTTCTCTCTCGTTAGCAGAAGTGCATCATCGCTCTCTCTCTCACCGCCGGCGAACAACCCCTTTTAGCTCAGTGTGTGCGTGTCTGTGTGTGTATGCGTCCGTGTGCACAAGGGCGCATATAGTAACGCATCATCGTCATCCGGTCTCCGCGTGGGTTTGCTACGTTAACGCTGGTCTAGATGAGTGCCACTGCCTGCATCTCCTTACGCAGCTGGGCATTGCGCAGAAAGAGGTGGTACGGCTTCGTCGTTCGCATTACGGATAGCATGAGGCCGCGTCGCGGATAAACATTAATAATAAACAATACAAAGGAGATAAAAACAAATAGTGATAAACAACGAAACGAGAGAGCGAGAGGGAGAGAAAGGAGTGGGAGAAACAAACAAACAAAAAGGACGGAAAACAAAAAAAAATCCGCGGAAATGCAGCGCGACAGCATCGTGACGGCGATCAATCATCAGCATCGCCACTACCACCATCGGCTCACGCCGCTCGAGCAGCAGCAGCCGCGTCATCGGCTTCAAAACAGTCATAATCACCACTACGCAGTCAACAACAACAACAACAACAACAACAGTCACAGTCATAGTAGTAGTAGTAGTCACAGCAGTCTGAGCAGCGGCACCGGCAGCAGCATCATCGGTGGCAAAGACCGTAGCAGTAGCAGTAATAACAGTATAACTCGAGCGAACGATGGAGTCAGAGCAGCTGTTATACCGGAGGAAGACGTTGTTGCACTGCAGCAACAACAACAACAACAAGAACAACAACAGCAACAACAACAAGAGCGATATAGACAACAGCATCACCAGGAAGACCATCGGTGTCTGCTGGTCGTAGACAACAGCAGCAGCAAGCTGGACGCCACGACGGGCAGCAGCTCCGGCTGCGGCGATCTCCTGGACACGTCCTCGGCCGACGACGAGATGGCCTCGTCCTCGTTCGCCTCGAGCACGTCCCTGGTGCTGCAGCCGAGGAGGCTCGAGTTCGACGGCTCGATGGATCTCAGCGACGACGAGGAGCTCATACTGCCCAGGCCGACCGTCTGTTCAGGTAAAAATATTTTTCGAAAAACGCTTACATTATTTGTATATATTAATTGTGGAGCACGTATTGTGTGTGCGTACGTATGTGTGTGGTGTCTGTATGTGGTGTGACGCGCGCGCGCGTGTGTGTGTGTGTGTGTCTGTGTTGCCACTGCTGTGTGCGGCGTGCGAGTTTTATCTTGACGATATGTGCGATAAAAATTCTGTTGTCGTTGCCGCATATAACGCATCGTGCATGGACGCAAAATAAAAAAATAAAAACAAGCAACAATGTCGTGCTTATTTCGGGTCTATTGACTTTTTCGCGTTCGAGTGACGCGCATATAAGTATGTGTGTAGATCCGCCGCATGCGACTTATTTCACACACACACACACACACACACACACACACACACGCATACATGTAGCTTATGCCTCTGCTCCCCCTTGGTAATGGCTGAAAAACCCTCGTATTGTTGTACATTCGCGAAGCGTCCAAAGCAACGCTGCTGCGCTTGTATAAATATGCTTATGCTACACGTACACATTTTATGTATAATATTTCGTTGTTGATTTTTTTTCTACGAAAAATACGGTATCGGTCGTGTGTCCTCTCGCCTGTATGTGTGTGTGTGTGTGTGCCGTCCGGTCAATATTTACATTTATTTTTTAGTCGAGCTATATTATATATTATATATTATTAAAAATAGGGTCGCGACTTTTGCAACGCGTGTGGTTGATATAAACACTCGAAATACTGCCTAATCAGTCGAAAATACTGTCAAGCTGTCATTTTGCTTTCTTCCCTCTCTCTCTCTATCTGTCTATATCGTACGGTGATAAAAATACGTTACGATTTTACTACGTTATTATGCTACATGGTCGATCATGTCGTTACCTCCGCGATATCTTCTTTTTTGTATATACAACCAGAGCGAATGTGACGTTTCGAAAAGAAGAAGAAACCACGTCGAAGCTCGGACGACGAATTCGGAGACACTCGCGGTGTCTCATCGCTCGAGTATTTTTAGATAATGACTCAAAATTATGTTAACGCGTTAACGCGAGGCCCGATAAAAAGCTCTGCTTGCTGCTGGCCTTTTTTCAATCTTGCAATATTCGAAAAAAAAGAACGGGGCAGGACCAATGAAACGCGAGCGCTCTCGAGACATTTAAAAAAGTGTTGCACAATCGTACGCCTACCTATTGTAAATACGTTGCGAATGTCGTGACGCGAATTTAATTACATACACACGCACACCTGGAAAAGAGATGGCCAGAAAGAAACGACACTTGAGTTAGTTGTGTTATCTATTTATTTTTTTTTACTTTTAAATTGTGATGAATGAGTGAACTATCATTTCTTCTGTTTAGCTATGCTATAAGTTGATAAAGAAGTGACTCATTAAATGAGCTTATAGTTTTATCCATATGGATGGTATTTATGGTTTAAGTTGATGAAAAATTGTGGCACCAGAGTGAATGCATAATTTGTGAAAAGTGATCGCTAAAATAATCTCTTTTCGTACGATCTTTTTTATAAATTCGTTGTGAATGCGTTCTTAATATTAAATACAATTGATGATAATCCTCTGTGTAAAGTGAAATATTCATAGTATTAACTATTGTGTGTAGGTCCCATAGAAATCAAATCTTCAAATCATGAAGAATCACAACCTAAAATGGCCTGTAGTCCACCATATAAAAGGGTCAGAGCTTTGAGGCTTTTCGACTCACCGGCTACACCCAAAACCCTCATGGAAAAGAGCACTATGCACACACCCATACCAACGAAATGTTCCAGACTATTTCACAATACAGACAAACCAAAGCCTATACCATCAGGCTATTATAAACATCCAGAAAAGCCTGCAGTAAATATAAATCCGTTCACTCCTAATGGAATGCTTCTTACAGCCAGGAAAAGAACGAGGTCCAAGCGGAATTTAATTGGGTAAATATATTTTATTTTATTCATCTATTTATGTAAATAGATAATTGATGAACAAAAAGTTTTAATTAACATTTCATGTACTTTCAGATCACCTGACAAAATAGTACGTAAGATAGACTCTGAATTAGGAGACTCAGAAGAATCTGAGGAATCAGAAGTAGAGCATCCAACTAAACGAGTAGCTTTACAAGAGTCAAATATATCACGCTATTACAAAGAATTTTTAGAACTTGAACTCCTTGGCACTGGATCTTTTGGTTCAGTTTTCAAATGTACGCATAGGCTTGATGGGTGTAATTATGCCATCAAGAAAAGCATCAAACCAGTGGCAGGTAGTGTTAACGAAAAAAATGCCCTAAATGAAGTGTATGCACATGCAGTACTAGGCAAGCATCAGCATGTTGTGAGGTACTATTCAGCCTGGGCTGAGGACAATCATATGATAATTCAAAATGAGTATTGTAATGGTGGCAGTTTGGCAGATACCATCGCAAAACTAAGAAAAGAGAACAGAAGTTTTTCGGAAGGAGAATTAAGACAGTTACTTTTACACATTGCGGAGGGTCTAAGATACATTCACAGTCTACAGTTGGGTAAGTCAATATTTTCTATGAATATAAAATGTAATAATGTTTGAAAATCAGTTCTTATAAATCTGTACCTTACAGTGCACATGGACATAAAGCCGGGAAACATTTTCATATCACGTGAAAAAAGTCAGCTGCGCGTGAATTATGACTCTGCCGACGACGGCTTCGATGAAGAAGAGACTGAGGAAGAGATAACTTATAAAATTGGTGATCTGGGACACGTCACGTCAATTAACAATCCACAAGTCGAAGAAGGTGACTGTAGGTATCTACCGACAGAAATTCTACGGGAGGATTTCACACACCTGACCAAGGCCGATATATTCGCCCTGGGGTTGACTATGTACGAAGCAGCCGGTGGTGGTCCGTTACCTAAAAACGGGCAGGAATGGCACGACATCAGAGAAGGAAAACTTCAAGAATTACCACAGTACAGCCGAGAGTTCAACGAGTTGTTAAAGGTATGCGTTAATTATTTCTGAAAAGTCTCTTAAATTGTATATCATCAATATGAACTTTCCTTTACTACACATACATTTTAGATTTTAATCAAATCTTCCTATTAAATAATTCGATTTTTTTTCTGTCAATCGATTACCTCTACTTGATCAAAACTCTAACGTGATCCGTATCTTTCAGTTGATGATTCATCCAAACCCAGAAATGCGTCCATCAGCTGTGAGTCTAATGCAACACAGAGTACTCAGTCCTAATGGCAACAAAACCAAAGCCCAATTACGTCGTGAGTTGAACGCTGAGCGTCTAAAAAACGAAATTCTATCGAAACAACTCGAAGAGGCAGCAAAATGTATTAACACCATAGCACCCAACATGGTGGTCACGTTGAACGGTAATCCAATTGCCATCGGTGCTCCGTTGGCATCTTTCAACACGAGCGGTTATAGGCTAAGGCCGACGCCCACAAGAACGTCGTCTAGAGCAATTGGCAAAAAAGTCAATCGCAGTAGTAGTACTACGAACTTTTAAACTTTCTTGCACCGAGAAGTTGTGCTTACCAAAACATCATGAAGCTCTTACCTCTGATAACCTACCTTTATTTTAATACTTTTTTTTTAAACTGTAATGTGTAGTGTTATGTAGATGTTGAACGAAATTTCAAGTGAGGTGCACAGGTACCTTTTTCGACGGTGCCTATTGTATTGTGATATCGGGTTATATTTGTTTAGCGTATAAGTTTAATACTTCCTGGAAAAAAGTAATGAAGAATGTTGTTCTTCCTAATAATTTTATTGAAAGAAAAAAACAACACTCCAGTTATTGATCGAGACAAATTTAAAGTAGTTTAGGTTGGATGTCATGGGACATTTGAAACCTTCTTTATTTTTATAGTGTTTATATTGTGATCTTAAAACGATGAACAAAATTAAGAGAGGAGTAATTCAGATTTATTACTTGTAAAGCATGCTTTTTATACCAATGTATATGTTTGTAAATTATTCACATTTTGAGAAAATTTACGTTTTACAAGATCGAACTAAACGTTTCTTTTCTTGACTACACAAGTAATTATTATCTAAAAACGATCCAACCTAAATAATAAGTCACGGCTTCTTTTCGTAGTATGAATGTCTCGAGCAACAAACTTGAAATGTTTTATGCAGAGTGAAATTGCACACGCGTCTCCTCGAAACCCTTGTAAATATGTGTCCTATGCGCTTTTTCGCAATTTAATCCATTTTTTTTGCCAATGAAAACTTTGGAGATGAGGTAGTTTTTTTGCATGAATTGAATTTAATTCTTAAACATTCCAAAGTAATATATCATTTACATTTATTTTAAATAATTCATATTAGAAGACGATGGGAAAATCATTGATTTGATAATTATAGCAATATTTAAAAAGTACAAAAAAGATTTCTATATAGATTGTTTGTCGCGTTCTATATATCGGTATTATTTACTTATAAACAATTAAATAACTCGTGTAAATCAATCGCGAAAATTATATTTAGATAACAATCAAATTAAATATTAATCAAATAATGAAACCAGACGACCTAGAATCTCTGGCATCGTATTTATTTAACTGCTTTAGTAATGATCATGTTACTTAACTATTAGCAGCTGTTCGAAATAATCATTAATGAATCAACGAGTATATCTATTAAAAGTAATCATTTATCGTTTTACGTTTTAACGGATTATTGAAAAAAAAATCACGAGTATTTTTTCTTTTACAAAAAAACTGACTTTAGTTTTAACAAATGAAATGTTTTCTCGCGGTCGTTTATTTTTTTCCTTGTCGAAGCACAAAGACCACATGATTTTGCAATTTGACTCTGTATAAGACGAAGATTATGGCCCAAAGCAATGTCGCGCAGGAATTACCAAACTATCTTTTTAACTTATTTTAAATCAGTCTCCACAAATCATATAAGAAAAAAACTATGAAACTTATTATACGTTTAAGGTAAAAACTACTTTTTTTTAATTACTAACATAATTGTGTTGTATAGTATACATTACAAAAAAAAAATAACGAAATATTTTTATATTAATGTATAATGAACATTAAGGTTTGAAAAGTCATTTTTCTCCTAGCTTTATATATATTACGAAATTGGCGTTACTCTTTAAAAATTATTTTTTTTGTCTTAGATATAAATCATTTATCAAGAAAGCAAGGGTTGCTTTCAGAATTATTGTTAAAACTATATTATATGTTTCCTGTGAGAGGCACATGAGAAAATTATTTTTCGTAATCGTGCTTCGTGTTTTTAAACTATAAGTTATGAATAATATAATAACGAAAAATCAACTGGTTTGTACAGACTCGATTTAGCATTGGTTCATTCAAGATTGACGGAAGGTTGTTAGGTTTTATATTCTTATTAGGTTTTTCATATTTCAACTCTATATCTAGAATCAAATAATCTTGGACGAATCGAAAGAGTCTTATTTCGCATTTGTATGAACCGATTTATTAGATGCAAAAAAAGTTTAATGAATTTTTACGTTGCTGCTTTTTTTGCTTATTTTTTACAATTTTGTATTATAAACAGTTTTAGTCTAAGTAGATGTAACACATTTTCAACATTATATATAAAAAAAAAATCTTTATTCGAACAAATATTCATCCAATACTCTAACAGTATGGATGAAATGAAGCGTATGACGTATATGTGATGACTTATGTGGGATTTATATTGTAATAAGTAATGAAATATGCTGATCAAATAGTTTAAAATGCAACGATATGTAAAATATTTTTTAAAATAATGAATTGTCAAAAATTGCTCACGCGAGACAAATAGATCTCTGAAATAAAAAAAAAGATATTTATTGTGAAATATCTGTAGCTCAGAGAAATCAAATAGAGAAATTTAGATAGCTTTGTTTTTGGTTTAAAATAAATCCAATATATTTTGTCAATTATGTGGAATACTTTGATTTTGAAACGATACAAGAGATTTTACACCAATCACTCAGAAATCAGAATTGCCTTCTGTCTCTGAGCTACATATATGAAAATATTATATGAAATGTAATTCTTCGCAACGGAAAAATCATTTTCTTTCTAGTTATGAAATGTTAGATTATAATGCGAAGAGACGAGTTTTTTTTTAGCGAATGGGTGATCGCCTTATTTTGTTATTCATCGTATCGTCATTTTTATTATCGCAAACACTTATTATTAAGGATGAAAAATATTTTGTAATAAAAATCAACTAAGATGAAAAAAAGTTCAGAAAAAATAAACAAAATTCCTGAATAATACCTAAATAATCTTGGCTTTTTTTTCTTTCACCGATCGTGGAGACAAAAAAACCGTTGAAATTAAAAATTTCGATACAGAGTCTTGGCAGATGCATAACAGAAAGCACTGCACATGCCCGACTTGAAGAAAGTCAACAGCTGCTATGGTCGGGACAAAACGACTTTGAATTTCTCGGTTATTGATCTAAGAAGCTGAATGTATTACAAGATTCCATTGGAGATGATATTTGAATGATCGTGGGAATTTTAGAAAGTTTATTGGATCGCTCGATGGCATTGCCCGGAAAACAGAAAGTCAATCGAGAGCTCGTATAAATTTGGCGCATAAAATTGACTGATTTGATGCTTTTTACTTCAATAATGCGTTCAAAAAAACGCCTACACATCCAACAATCGCGAAATTTTCTCAGTTTCTGAGAAACCGAACCCAAATTTCATTTTTTCGTCAAAATCGAGTGAAAAGCTGTCTCGGTATACCTTTGAAAAGTAAATGCAACGTTCACGAAATCATATTTCAAACAGACCGCTCGTAATTATAATCTGGACATTATAAATTGTCAAATGTTTGGACAGAAACAAGGGGCGATTTACGTCGATAAATTCTTTATTTTCATCAAAACTTCATCTCAACAATAACATGTGCAATATGATAAATATAAATATTTAATTGTAAATTGTTCCTAAAAATGTCATTCATTCAACTTGTACTTATATAAAGCTAGATCACCTTCATCGGTATAGAAAAAATATGCATAAAAATACTGCAGACTTTTCGATGGATTATAATCATTTATACAGACATTAGCTATCATTAGTTATTATTACAGTGTAACGTTGTCGTGTTATCGTGAGACGCTCTCGTTCTCGGAGACGCGAGCATCGTCATATCGTTAATGGGAATAAATTGAAATTAATGTTTTTTTAGTACAGATGATTACGTAAAAGATCACTTTCTTCGTTTCGTTACTTTAATGCTATATATGTAAGGCTCGTATAAAATACTTCGGTAAATTTTCTTACACAAACGACATTAGAGTTTTTCTTATATCATTTTTGAGATTACTCAGACACTGTATAGGATTACAATTTAATACGTTCATAAACATTTATAAACTTAAAAATTGTTCGGAAATTTTACTAACCCATAGTTTTGATTACATCTAAAAACGAATAGGTGTAATTAGAAATTGGCTAACTAAACTCGATGCGCACAGTGTTCACGTTTACTTTGTTTTTTTTTTTTTTAATTCATCGCATACCTAAACACGCGGAGGCACCGATAAATATTTCATTGCGAATGGAGATTGAACAAAAATTAAAAGAAAAATAATTACACTTACAAACTATTACATAACGGTTATATTTTCAGTCACAATAAGGCTTTTTTTCGTAAATAAAAATTGCACGTTGCTTAATTCCTTCCATCTTTCTTGCGATTGAATCAAAAACAATAACAAGCCTTACTTTCACAAAGATTCGTACATACAATTAACAGCGAGGTTGCTTTTTTCTTTGTCGTTTCTGTTACTTTTCTCTCTTGCGAACTAACTCGCAACGATGCCGTTCGTCAATGCCTGTCCCATGAGGATCTTCTGGCCGACCTCCGTGGTGAACTCGAAGTCGCGCGGCGCCTCGAAAATCAGCACGATGGTCGAGCCCATGCGAAACTCGCCGAAGAGCTCGCCCTTCTGGACGCGCATGCCGCCCTCGAATCTCGCGTCCTCGGAGTGCTTGGCGTTGTTGAACCACTTGCGCTTGTTGGTCACCAGTTCGCTGTCCTTGTAGACGTGAATGGAGCCGACGTTGGTCGCGCCAACGGCTGTGTAAGCCATGAAGCCGCCGGCCCACTCGCCGATATAGACCACGCGCTCGTTCATGGCGAAGAGATCGGGCAGCCAGCTGGCAATTTTCGGATTGACGCTGAGCAATTTTCCTGCAATTGATTTTTTTTATGAAAAGTTTTCAATTGTATTTTTTTAAGAGAGCGAGAGCGAGAGAAAGAGAGAGAAAAATATTGTACCTTGAAAATGTCGGCGTAAATTGATCGTCCAGTCGGCGGGACTGTGGAATCTGTGATAGTCTCCGGGAGCCAAATAAATAGTCAATTGGTAAAGAAGATTTTCAGGATTCTTCAACAAGCTCGTCACGTAGTTGTCACTCACAGGTTTTTTAGCTATGCTGTCTTCCTTGTCAATGTGGGGCCAATTTGGCTCGCCCAGAAAATGTTGCAAATTGTAAGTCATACCTTTGACTTGTTCAACTTTGCACGAGGTGATTGGACCAAAGTGTAGTACTTTACCGTCTGAAGGAGCAACCTAAATTGTGGGCATCATTGACATTAATAACACAAAAATAGCAGTAAAATAGTGTTATCAGTCAATGAAATAATAAAATTACCATATTTGTATGATCTGCAATAATTCTTGCGTCTGGCTTAAGTGGTCTCACAAAAAAATCGGAAAGACTTGGGAATTCAGTCAATGAAGCATCGATTTCATCTAAATTGGCTTTGAACATTTTGGCATAACAACTATATACAACTGATCTCAGTGATACTGGTAATTGTAAACTGGCAAAACCACCCCAGACTCTGCTTGTGATTCTTAAGGGTAAGGAGCAGTAACACTCAACCTATAATCAAATAGCACATAGTCAATACTTGCATTAACCTTGATTTAAAAGATCAAATTCACAATGAAATTTACCATGAGTCCTTCGATGGGTCCTTTGGTAGTCGCGTCCTCCTGTCTTTTCCTAAAATATCTCCACTGTAATACTGCTAAGAACGAGAAGCCGATACCAAAAGGTATCTTCCATCTCCATTCCCTGACATACGACTTCCAAGACTTCTGCTGAGTCTGTATCTGAGCCGTGGAGTTTGACAGAGTCGACTGATTTCTAACACCCTGCCTGAATATGTTGGAGACAATTTTCCTGGACGAAGCAATGACTGCATAGGAACATCTGTATGTGATTCGAGCTTCGTAGCTGAAAAGAGAGAGCACTTTAGAGAACATTTCTCTCCATCGATTGTCGATGCATGACACTTTAATTGAAGGACAGCAACAATCAAATCAATAATGATTCACACTGGTACACTGATAGGACTTTCTTTTTTAAAAGCGCGCTTTGTCCGTATACACAGTTATATCTATAAACAAGCGTGAGTAAACGCGCGCTAATCAGGATAGCTCAGAATTGCCCAGTATTATCCTTGATAGCGTCTGTGTATGACTCCACCGTCACCACCACCACCATCACTACCACCGCCCCGAACGTCATAACACAACCCGCGTGCGTACAACATTAAAGTATAGGCACGATAAAATAGGCGTCAATTTTTCCTCTTTCCCTTTCTCTGTATTTCTCCTCGAGGGAGCAAAATCGATAATAAGCGATATCCGAGTTATAAGCGATGATTGCCATGCTCCGCGCGTGCGATAAAATCCATACATTATCACCGTGGGACGCCAAGGCTGAGCCAAGCCAGAAGCAAAAAAAAAAAGGAAAAAGAAAAAAACCCAAGCAAGTAGGTAGAGGTATAGGTATTTTATTTATTATTATTGATTGACTATAGCTCCTCGACTCACCTCGCGACTTCGAAAGCCAGCCTCGAGATTCTGCTGATGGACATCATTAAAGCGAAATAATACTGCACGCAACGGACGAGCTGGCTGCGCTTCATCAATGGGTGTAGATGACGATAAAAAAAAAAGTTACAACTACGTTTGTGTGCGTGCGTGTGTGCGTATAACGACGATATATGCTATGCACGACGACGACGACGACTCAAAGCCTTTGTCTGCTTCTGCAATGTGTTGTACACTATATAATGTAATCAGTCAGCAAAGCAGCAGCGCAGCTCCTCCTCTCTCTCTCGTATGCCGTCGTGGTCTGTGGCGGCTGCTGCTGCTTTGCTGTCTCTCCGAATTTTCTACACTAAAGCGCACTATACACTACACGCTTTCTCTCTCTCCGATACTATATATACTCCTGCCATTTCTGCGCCTATCTGATATAACTATATATACATATATAATATGTGTGTATAAAATGTCTACATCAGCTGGGGAATATAGACGGCCGCCGACGCAGAAGTTAAATTCAGAACGTTCTCAGCTCTGCGGGCCTTATCAATCGAGTTTTCATAGTTAAGGCGCAGGTTAGGTTCGTTCGCGCGGCTCGAGACTCGAGACTCCGCGACTGCTGCCAATCTAGCAGAAAACGTTTTTTTTTTGTTGTTGCGTGCGAGAAATAAAGTAGCATCGACGAATAATATACTTGCGACTGATAAAATGTACACATGACCTTGAAAGAGAGAGAGAGAGAGAGAGAGAGAGTTCATCGATCACGAGGGAAAAAAGTGGAAAATGCGCTCGTACATCTTATCTGCAGTCGAGATGATTACATGTTTTTTCTCGTGTATGGATGGGGTCGATGATATTGACAATTATGCAGGTCGAAATAATGCGAGTTCAAAATTCGGCAACAATTCGGAGTAGTCATAAGGAAACTTTATCGAATAATGAAGAAAGTACGAATTTTTGGAGCAGCGAAAATTAATTTGCACGCCGCTTATTATCAACGCGAATTAACATCGATCGATGATGGGGAAGAGGCACGCGTCGATTCGAAATTGAAGCAGCAAATTATACAAAGTCATCGCGACGATGCAAATAGTATAAAAAAACAGAAAAAACAGCCTGTTAAAACGGTCGCGCGCGACGTGTGTGCGGGGAGCGCTTTAACAGTCTCCCTGGGACAGCGGCACGAAGAAGCGTCGCAGTCGTTCTCGAGCTCTCGTCTCGAGTGCGTACATTAATAAAAAAGAGAAAAAACAAACAAGTACACGAGATAAAATTCCAGCCGCTCTTCTCACTAAGCGAACGAGTAAAGAAACAAGCCAAACAACGTCCAACATGCTCAAGGTATTTGAAAACACGATTCGGTGTACATTTTAACGTGTAATAATACATTTATGTAGGACACGGATCGCGTGTCTTGAAAAAACGCATATATACATATATCTGGATAATATGATGATTTCGATTGCAGGGAGTGGTGACGCTGATAACCGGTGGTGCTTCGGGACTTGGCCGCGGCACCGCCGAGAGATTCGTGAGGCAGGGCGGCCGCGTCGTCATTGCCGATCTGCCCAACTCGCCGGGCCACGAGGTCGCCAAGGAGCTCGGCGACGCGGCGATATTCGCCCCGGTCGACGTGAGTATACATACATTATTCCGCATCGAGTCGAACATTTTATTATCTCGAAACTTGCTATATATTCTCTTTTTATTGAGCCGCGACGAAAATTACTATCTTACCGGCGTTCGGTCAATTGGAGAACTCGCGTATAAGTGGGGGGAGGAGGGATTTTTGAAAAATAGGATGAAATTTTAGTGAGGATAAAATAGCTAGTTTTTATACCCTTGAGAGAGGAACGTTAGAAATGTATGATTCGATAGTAAAAAGCTCAGATCTAAGCTTTTGTGTGATAATTTAAGTGGAAATTAGTTACTCTTATGTACGTGGAGAACGTCAAAATGTTCTTGAAATAGGAAAAGTCTAGTTTTCGCACATCGTTATCTGAGTTAATGCTTCGTACCGCAATTCCCATGTATTGCTTTTAGATTCTGTATTTGATGTTTCGATAAAAAATTTACAAACTTCGAGAGCTTGAATATTAAAAGTAAAAAAAAAAAAGCTAATTATCGAATTGTGTCGGACAAGTAAAACTCTTAATTTTAACTTTCAATCGATTCGAAAGCCGATTTTTGTTATGTAACAAACAATGAATCCTATTTTTTTTTCTTCATTCAATTGATCGACTAAAAGCACTTATTTTAAAATAAATTTTAACTCGCAGTGACTGAAAACTGGCAGTTTTGATCCCATACTCATTCAATTAATATTAAAACGCACTCGAAACGAATTGTACGTTTATCTCGAACGCTCGTCGCGATAACGCTCGATCGCGCCCGTATGCCTCTCCCGTATACGAAAGTAGATATATAAAAACAAAAAAATAAATATATGCACGTATGAAAATCTGCTCTCAGGTAACGTCCGAGACCGACGTGCAGAGCGCCCTCAAGCTCACCCGCGAGAAGTTCGGCCGTCTGGACGTGCTGGTGAACGCGGCTGGCATCGCCACGGTCTGCCGCACCCACAATCTGCCCAAGAAGCAGGTGCACTCGCTCGAGGACTTCGACCGGACGCTGCGCGTCAACGTGCTCGGGACCTTCAACGCCATCCGCTTGGCGGCGGGCCTCATGTGCGAGAACCAGCCCGACCAGGACGGCAAGCGCGGCGTCATCATCAACACGGCCAGCGTCGCGGCCTTCGACGGCCAGACCGGACAGGCGGCCTACTCCGCGAGCAAAGGCGCCATCGTCGGCATGACTCTGCCCATCGCTCGTGATCTGTCCAGAGACGGTGAGTACACGACGTGTGAACTTGGATCTCAGTTATATTTTTCATACTTCGATCTTAAAGATTGAATTTAGTTTAGATTTGTAAATCGCATGAAAAAAGTTTTAATAAACTTCTGTGAAAAAATTGTAATGGGGGTCGGGGTAGTTTAGTTCACGATTAATCACTTTACTCCATGGATTTTTTCTTACATTTTTTGCTCTAACACGCTTGAATTGTTGCACTTTAGGTATCCGCGTGGTGACGATCGCCCCGGGCGTCTTCGAAACGCCGATGATGGCCAAGCTGCCCGCGAAGGCGCGCGAGTCTCTGGCCAAGGCGGTGCCCTTCCCCCAGCGCCTCGGCAAACCCGAGGACTTCGCCCATCTGGCCCAGGCCATCGTCGAGAATCCCTACGTCAACGGCGAGACCATCAGGCTCGACGGTGCTCTGCGCATGCAGCCTTAAATTCACAAAGCGACTCTGGCTTTTTTTTATGTATTTAACGGAGACGCATTGGTGTTTGGAGTTCGATGTTTTTTGATACTGTTTTTTTTTCTTTATTGAATTTCTGAAATGTGATATATATAAAGTTTGATACTGTATTGAGAATAAAATTTTCTATTTTACATGACGAAGTATTGTGTTTTTTGTTTATTATGAATTTAAGAGTGGATGTGAGGCAAGTAAAGTTCTTGGAAAATTTTCTGAATTTTTTATTCTTTTATTCCGATAGATCCATGATTGCATCTTTCTAATTAAGACGGTAAAGTAAGAACCACGCGAGTGCACGATGGAAATCGACGCAGACGAATTTCCACTTTATATTCTTGCACGCACAAAGAATCATGAAAGTTTTATTTTATCAAAAACAAAGTACATAAAATTGAAATGAAATGAAAGACAAAAATTTTTTCAATTCGCATACTCATAAATACTTTATTTTTTTCGACACACAGACACAATTTTGTACTTGAAATCCATATCGTTGGTACCTTTAAACAGTTTGCAAGTCAAGGCCGTAGCCAGCGGGGGGGTTTGGGTGTCAGAACCCCCCCCGAAATTTGGGATTTTACCTTCTGTTAATGGTAACCCAAGCTACATAAGTAACCCGGGTAAACCCCCCCGAAAAAATTTTCTGGCTACGGCCCTGTTGCAAGTCATCATATGTATCTCAATTGGAAAAAAACGCGTTACGCGCGAATCTGACATCAATATCGCATAGATGAACGATTCAATAATCCGCAAGGTTTTTTCGAGAAATCTTTGTGGATTTCGGACTTTCTTTCGAACGCGCTCGAAATATCCGCGAGCTCTTGTCGGTGAATCGTCGCGGATTGTCAAGCGCTTTGCGCGGATAATTAAGCAATCCCTTGATAATCGCTGCGAGGCTCATCACATATATTTGATCCACGTGAAATGGGCACGGATAATCCAGTTCGCGAATGAAAATTGAAAAATAAATACTTTGATCGATAGTGAAAAATGGCGTATAATTATGTTAATCGACTAGAACTAGACGAGTTGAAGAGATGGCGAATGGATAGAAGTCTGCGAATGATCTTCAGCAACGAAGGCTCTCTTACGCGGCTAACTCGCCTTTTCTTAGCGTGCGAGCGATGATCGGCGTCGTCGCCACCTAGCAGTGACGAATCGAAACACCGGCCCATCACCACCACGCAGCTAATCAAAGTAACGCCATTCTTCGTCATCTAATAAATATTTATCCCGAAAATTATATAAATGACGAAGGCATTAGTCACCTGCACCTAAGTTGCCTTCGAGGCTTTTACGACGTGGTCGAAAAATTCCTCGACATCTACCACATAGATCCGAATGCATGTCCCATACCGAGAACAGGTAACTCGCCGCTACACTTGGCCCTGGCCCGTGGTCATCATCGAGTAGCCGAACTGCTGGTGAGGAGAGGCGCCAATCCTAATACGGCCAACGAAGAGAGATCGACTCCTCTACACATGATTTGTAGGAGTCTGGCCAACTATGGCATCGACTGGGCCGAGTGGCTTATGAATCTTCGCGACGAATTGCATCGGCCCCTGCACGTCAATAGTCAAGATCGTCAAGGCAATGCACCCCTGCACTCGGTTCAGAGGGCGCACATGAACCCGCTGCGTTGTCTGAAAACGAGCCGGGCGTTGCTAGAACGAGGTGCCGATGTCAATTTAATCAATGCAGATGGACAGGCACCTCTGCTATTAGCTGTATGTAGTCTCATGCCCGACGTTGTAAAATTGCCTCTTGGACAACGGCGCCGATTTATCAATATTCCTCTTTCCCGAGAGGGGAGAGCTTCGATGCCATTTGGGGTCGAAATCGGTGCGTGATTGCCAGGTTACAGTTAGTAGCAAACGTAGTATTGATAATTAATCATTAACTCGCCTTTTCTTAGCGTGCGAGCGATGATCGGCATCGTCGCCACCAAGCGGTGACGAATCGAAACACCGGCGCATCACCACCACGCAGCCAATCAAAGTAATTCCGTCCTTCGTCATCTAATGAATATCTATACAGATAATTTCATCATAAATGACGAAGGCATTAGTCACCTGCACATAAGTTGCCTTCGAGGCTATTACGACGTGGTCGAGATAGGTGTTTTTTTCCCTCCAGATTCGTAGCTTCCTCGAAAGCCCGCTGGGCCAACGGTCGCAGATGGCCTGCGGACGAAAATTTAAAAAAGTATCATTGTGACCCTAGTATATTACTGCCCTAGGCCGGGAAAAATAGAAAAGTCCCAAGCAGGGCACGTGAAATAAGCGACCGAGGCGAAGCCGAGGTCGATTAGCACGCGCACCGAGGTTTTCTTTTTTTCCGGCCTGGGGCAGTAATATACTACAACGCGCGTTGACTACTTATAGCTCATGCTCAGTCGAACGGCTTTGACGCGCACGCCGCGCGTTCGAACTTTCTCTTATTGAATCGTGGTATGCATGAAAATCGTCAGTGCAGGTTACGACTACACCGCGTGAACAGCTATATATAGAAAATATCGAATCTACTGCATTACGCGTGAGAAAATAAAATTAACATTTAAAATTACAAGTGACCACGTGTGTTGTTGTTGTGTGATATATGTATGATATAATGGATCCACACCGCAACTGTTCAGGACAATCACGCGAGGTAGCCTGTCCTCGACAAAAAGTCGAACTGGAAGATCTTTTGAACGAGCTGAAGCTCGACCGCGCGGACGCAGAACGGACCACCCAAATTCTTGAACGACTTAGTAATATAACTAGTAAATCGACTTGGAAGGGCCCACTTCCGAATCTTCGAGACACTTTTCAACAGGAAGAAGTCAATCGTATTCTCATGAATATCGTCGATCACACAAGCAGAAAAGAAGGGGATTCTTTCAAAAGTTTTTATATTATTAGCTTCATAGCTCGCACAGGCTACAAACACGAGCCAGAAATTGATAAAGACGGCAAAATACTATTGCATCTTACAACACCGCTGCATGTGGCAGCAAAGTACGAACACAACGTAGATATGAATTTTCTTATTCTTCCGGTCCTTTTTGAAATATACGGCGACGATTTAAATTACACCGACGAGTTAGGCGTCACGCACTTCCATGTGGCCTGCATGTATAGTTGTGCTATCGAAATCGTCTCGAAATTCCTCGAGCTCGGCCAGGATCCCAATCTCCTCGTGGAATCAACGGGTGATAGGCCGATACACTTTGCTTTGAATCGGGGCAGATGGAAGGCCTTACTGATGCTATTACAAAAAGGCGCCGATCCGAATGTACCCAACAAGTTGGGAAGGACACCGTTGCAATTTGCCGTGGCGAATCTCTGGATACAACAGTTCGATTTACTCTGGAATAATGGAGCTAATCTATCGAATTTTTTTCTTCCGACTTTCAGCCTCTTCGAAACTGGTATAGACTTCTTCTTCATTGGTGTCTCAATCGAAGGGTATTACAAATTTCATGGAATAACTTCTCCTATTATGCAGATCGTCGGATTTCTTGAGAAAAACGGATACGAGCTGGACCGAATCGAGGCCTTGACGATCATGAAATTGTATTCGAAATACGGATTGTTCGAGAAATCGGCGGATGCCGAGAAACTTTTACGCAGCGACGAGGAGTTCGCGACAAAATCGAAGAAGATCATGATGAAAGAGTATTTGTCGCTTTACGATCTACTCCAGTTAAGACCCAAAGAGGCGGCCAAGCTATTCACTTATGAGGGTCATCTCGACCATGCGTGGGACTGGTCGAAAAAATTGTGGGACTGCCAAAAGCATCGGAACACTTGTGCTATGCATCTTTCTGAAAAGATATCAAGAAGATTTTTTCTGGATTGGGCGATTGATTCTTTTTGCGAGCTGATACACCACCGACTTCCGATTCTTTGCTGCCACATGATTTTAGAAAATTTGAACAACGAAGATTTATATAATATCTGTTTAGCGAGTACCAGCCAAAACCATGAGGACAGTGTAGAAGACGTAATCACAAATGCTATAAAATGTAACAACAAGAGACCGATGGAAAGCGAGGGCCAAGAAGCTCCAAAAAAATCTAAAATATAATGCGAAGAAGACCTTTTTGTGTCTTTTAAATGTCTAATATTATTATATGTAGCAGATTTTCTATATCATAACTAATGAATAAATTGCTAAAAAAGTTATTCGTACACGAATATTATTTATTACTATCAATTTTACAAAAAAAATATCATGCACGTTTTATTTTAAATTAGCACTTGCACAAGTTTCATATACGAAATTCAATTCTTGGTTTTTTTTTTTTTTTTTGTAATTTTTTTGGTATCCGATTCTCAGCACTAATTTTTATTCATAATTTATTGACATCGATTCATTGAAGAAATTTCTTTTGCTATTCGACGTTGCAACTTGCAAGTCGCAAGTCGCAAATGCGGCTGATGTATACCGACCGGCGACCACGTGATTATACATGCGGCATCGCAGCAGCACACATTGGTTATAGTCTTGCTGTCTGCGAGAGCGTATAAAATACAAAACGCGTGTAGTGTACCGGTTGTACCCGGCAGTTCAGTTCGCATCACACGAGTACAATTATTAGTAATAAAAATGCTGAAGGTGAGAGAATTTAATTGTTGTAAAACAAAAGAACGAGAAGAGAGTGCGAGTTCGAGCGAATCGTGTCTTTTGTTTACTTATGTCATGGTCATGATAGCTGAGGTTATGAAGTTATGTTTAAAGAGTACGTCATTTTTCATAGGGTTTGGTAACTTTGGTGACTGGAGGAGCCTCTGGTTTGGGCCGAGGGACAGTCGAGAGGTTCATTCGCGAGGGTGGAAAAGTAATCATTGCAGATCTACCATCCTCTAAAGGAGGTGAGCTAGCTCAAGAACTTGGGGAATCAGCTGTATTCGCACCAATGGATGTGAGTGACTCTCATAATAAGCATTTCTATTTATTAATTGACAATGTTTCATGCATTTAGTAATTGTCAACAGGTCACATCTGAGACTGACGTTCAGAACGCTTTAAAATTAACAGAAGAAAAATTTGGACGTCTTGATGTTCTGGTCAATGCTGCGGGTATAGCTGTCGCATACAAAACATTCAATTCAAATAAAATGGAACCCCATCAATTGTTGGATTTTGAAAAAGTTATTAGAGTCAACACTCTTGGTACTTTTAATTGTATCAGATTAGCTGTTGGAGTTATGTGCAAAAATGAACCTAGCACAGATGGTCAAAGAGGTGTTATCATTAACACTGCCAGTGTTGCTGCATTTGATGGCCAAATTGGTCAAGCTGCTTACTCTGCAAGCAAAGGAGCCATCGTTGGAATGACTCTACCTATTGCTCGTGATCTATCTAGAGATGGTGAGACTTTAAATGATATATTTAACTTATGATATTTTGAATGATTAGGATCTGAGAATAACTGTAGAAAAATTTTGAATACATCATTATATTAATCATAACAATGGATAACAATAGCCTCTACAGTTTTTTTCAAGCCAGTTCTTGGTTTCAGTTAATTGAGTTTTTAAGTCAGCAGGTAGTAAAAAATCTAACTCGACTATCTTTTCAAAGCAATGATAAAAGCCAACATTCATAGCTTCTTCCCTAATAATTATTATTACTATTTTCAATTGCTTGCCTTTCCTTGGCTCATTTGATTTAGTAATTTACTTTATCTGCTTTTATAAAATTCAATTCACATCTCTCTTTTATTATTACTTCGATGCGCTATAAATTTTTTTACAATGCAATGACAATGATTCGATGCCACAAAAATTACACTTAATAATAAAATTGAATAAACAAATATAATAATACTGATCAATTGTTTTGTAGGCATTCGAGTTGTAACAATAGCACCTGGACTATTTGATACGCCACTGTTGTCAAAACTGCCCGATAAGGTACGCAGCTTTTTGGGAAAAAGCATACCTTTTCCTCAGCGGCTTGGTAAACCAGATGAATATGCTAGGCTTGCTCAGGATATTGTGGGCAATCCAATGCTCAATGGTGAGACCATAAGATTGGATGGTGCTCTTCGCATGCAACCTTAAAGATATTATGCGCAATTTGATTTATTCAACATAAATCATAGTGATTCACTGTTAGATATTAATTTTTTTTATTGTTATTTTAGCTATGATACTTATAAAACATTGTTATTCGTAATTGTTGTTATTAATAGGTCGACTTTGTAACTCAGCTTGTCACTGACCATGAAAACATTTTCTACACTCGTTTATTTAACTCTTGTTTACATAAGTAGCAGTAGTTTTTATATCGACTCATTTTTCGTCTTGACAGAAAACTCAAGCTGAATAAAACTTGAAACAACAAACAAACAAATATTACAATTGAATTCCTCGTGTTTACTCATAGATAATGAGGTGTGATATGAATGCATTATGTGAAAGGATAAACGTTTACATTTTGTACACGCAACTTCATGTTCGCTAATTCCTTTTATTGTTTACTCTCACATTGTTCTTAATAATAATTTACACGAGCGTAACTATGATAACTCACTTTCTCACCGATTCTGGGAGTTTTTTTTTCTCATCTAGGAAGGGTCTGCTGGGAAGTAAAAGGGTGATCAGAAACAGGGATGGGGCCGGGGGAAATTTTCGCACTAGATACACTGTATTTTATTGTTATACGTATTCATTTTTGCTGAAACCAGCTTTTTTCGTCTCTTCAAAATGGTTTTACTTATACATAATATATTTTTATATATTTATACTCGTCAAATGTAACCCGCTGTACATCGCATTTTGTCGTAATATTATTTTTGTCGTTTTTTTTCTCGTCTCTTTATTGTAACAAATTGCATTTGTTCATTTTTTTATTCTTCATTATTTTTTTGTCGTAAACCCGCGGTAAAGACGCATCAAAAAAATTTCACAATCGCCACACATGCACACACAAGCGTTTAATTTTTTTTTTTTTTTAATCTTCTTTTTGTAATAATTCACCGCGTTCGTTTATACCCAAGATACAATTGTTTACACATCTAAATAATTGTTATTTTTGTTTTCTTTTTTTTTTTCACTTTTTACTTATTGGCTTTCTATCTGTTTCTATAAATATTCAATCCATTTTAGCTAAAATTGGTGGGTTGAATGGAAACATGATGAATGATTAATGAGGATAATACAATGGTGAATTGTTTGGTGATTAAACGTGAGGTAAAGTTTAGAGCTTTAGATTAGAGAGATAGAGAGTGGGCGAGAGAGAAAGTCTGAGATATACAGGCTTGATACACGTTATTACATTATATGACACAAACACGCCTAGCAAATGTTGCTTATTTTACTTTTTATTTTATTTTTTTGTTAATGATATTTTTGGTTTCATGAGAGATGCGCGACAGTGTCGTTGCTGCTTTAGATTTTTCATTCCCTTCTTCTTCTTCTTCTTCTTCCTCATTTTTTTTGTCATTTTTTTCAATGATTTTTGCTATCATTACATACACACGCACACACCTCGCGTAGGTTCCGAGCGCGCAGTTTTTTCTCTTTGCCTCTCGATTAAATACAATATATATATAACCAACTAATATATTCGCTAATATGTATAACGTTCGATTTGCTTCTCGTTTGTTTCTTTCCCTTCGTCCTCGTCGCACAGCTGCAACACATTCAAAAAAAAAAAAAAAACAAAACATCGATACGGACGCAGGGATGATCGTTCGAATCTAACAATTGATAAATATGCACACGCACCGTATCGTAGCAATTAGTATAGTGTATAATTGTATTACTCTCAGGCGGCGCCCTTGATTAAGGCAGTAGGCGAGCGTCTACGTCTCCTGTCGATGGTCAGCAGCATCAGATTGATAACGAGGATGATGATGACGACGAGCATGACGCCGAGGTTTAGTCAGCCCTAGGCGTTCGACTCCTTGAGCGACTGCAGTGCCTGCAGCTGGTCGGGCTGCAGCTCGTCGGGTATGCTGCGACGGCCGCCCACGAGCATCTTGGCCGCGCCGTCCGGCGGCGGCGACGACGACTCCGACGTCTCATCTTCGAGGCTCTCCTGGCGCTGCTGCTGTTGGTGCGTCGTCGTCACTGTCGACGTCGTCGTCGTCGTCGCGGTCGTCGTGGCTGTGGCCGTCTGCGTCGTCGTCTTCATCGTCATCGTCTGTGCACGCGCAGGCAAACATTGGGAATTATCACCGGTACTGGGGCCCGAATCTCCGCCGGCGTCGCTACCCGACGAGCTACTCACTGGGAAGGGGGCCGAGTCCGTCGGCTGCGGGTCGTCCGGCTTCTCGTCGTCCTCCGACTCCTCGTCGTCGTCCCGCTCCAGGAGGCTCCGGCGACACTCCTCGGCCGGCGACGGGTCCTTCGGCGGCTTTTCTGGCTCCTGCTGCTGCTGCTGCTGCTGAGGCTCTGCCTCTTGCTCCGCGTCGTGCTCGTCGTTGTTGTTGTTGTTATTGTTGTTATTGTTGTTGTTGTTCGACTCCTCGCCTGGGAAGGGCCGTTCGATCTCCTCCATGGGCGTAGCCGCCGTAATGACGATCTGCGCCACGCCGAGAGCGTCGTCGTCGGCCTCCGCCGCAGCGGCGGTCTTTTTCTTCGCCTCCCGCGCTGCCTTTACGCCCTCGGGTTCCTCGTCTTCCTCCTCCTCTTCTTCCTGCAATGGAAATTTTCACGTGTTTTATCGCTCCGAGCTCGACTATAGGGGCACGTATCTGTGTTATATTCTATGAAGTTAATATTGAATTTTTGGTTTTTGATGTGAAATCATATGTTTTTACAAGTCTTGTACATGAGAAAATATATGTCAAGTACTTTTAATCATTTTAGATATTCTAGGATTCATCTATAATGATTTATGATTCTAAAGTCCTGCCCGGTCTGACGACACAGGACTTTGGAATTATAAATCAGCATGAATGAATCCTGAACTAATTAAAATATTTAAAGATACGGTTGCATCAAAAACAAAAAATTTCAATATCAACATATAGCTTTAATTTTTTTTTTTTTTAATACAGAATCTAACGCAAGTGTGTCCCCTCAACGAAAGAAGAAAAAAAACATCAAACTCACATCCGAACTGTTTGGTTGATCCGGAGCTTCGTCAACTGCAAAGTTAAGAAAACGATGATGTATCAAAATATATCATAATTATTATGTAATGAATAACGCGTGACACTCACTAACGATCCCCGGCGCCTGGGACTTGTCCTCGCCGAACTGCTGGCCGTACTGCTCCTTCTGATTGTTCGACAGGTTGATGTTGAAGCTGTCCGGCCGATCGCCGTTCACGTATCCTCGTTCTCTCATTTCTGCGAGAGGTACAACGATATAATTAATTATCAAAGAGAGTCGATTTCGAAATAATGATGATTTTTTTTATGCATTACCATTCATGAGGGATCTGGCTAGCTCCTCGCTGAGAATGAAGTCCGGTGCCTCGGGTGGCGTGTGCGCGGGCGGCGCCGTCAGGCTCGGCGGCGTCAACGGTTCTTCCTCGTCCTCCTGCCGAGATGCAATAAAAACAAAAAACGAACGAAAGTTAGAAAAAAAGAACGTGCGCCACGAGGGTCAATGCGAATGACAATTAACGCGAACTCGAGCGTATGTAAATAGACACGCACGCACACGTGCGGTCTCAAGGTCGTCGAGAGCTTTGCGAAGCTTTTCTAAGGTTTCTCTCTCTTTCTCAAGAGAGTTAAATGTCAACGTTCGATACAGATATATATAGTGCAGTAGTTTGTACGCTGCATAAAATTTTAGGGTCAGATCCGGCAAAATATCTTTTTCTGATCCATGCGTTGATTTGTTCTGGATCTTACCCCGTACTTTCAGAGAGTATATTGAAAAATGAAAATCTTGGAAATCTCAGCCCTTTTGGTCCATCCCTGTTGGATCTATAAGGTTCAAAATTGAATTTTTAGTTTTCAACTTTTTTTCTTGATTTTTTGGATTGGATATGAAAAAAATTGTTGAAACATGACATATGATGTAAAATTTGATGAGTCGAATTCAAATTTGTTATCAAAAATAATATTCATTTTGTTCCATTAAAAAGTGAAAACAGCATAAAGGTAAAAAAATAAACATGTTCGTATCCATCGATTAGGCCAACATGGTAATGTGTTCATTGGCACACAAACAGACTTCATTATTAAGTATGATATGAGTCAAGAATCAAGGAAAATTAGAGAAAAACCATGATTCTTGACTCATATCTAGTTGAATAATGAAGTCTGTTTGTTTAACAATGACCAAAATTAAGGGAAAGGGAGTTTTGGTAATGTCGATGAACATATTACAATGTTGGCCTAATCGATGGATATGAACATGTTTATTTTTACATCTATGCTATTTTTGTTTTTTAATGGGGCAAGAGCATATGAATATGATTTCTGACAACAAATCAGAATTCCTCATCAAATTTTACATCAAATTTCATGTTTCAACAATTTTTTTCATATTCACTCCAAAAAATCGAGAAAAAAAGTTGAAAAATGAAAATTCAACTTTGAAACTGATAGATCCAACAGGAATGGACCAAGAGAGCTGTCTTCTTCAGGATTTTCATTTTTCAATGTGCTCTTCAAAAGTACATATTTACTTTTTACTCGAGTCAACGCGATACAGTCCATGTATATCATTAAACGGCGTCGTTCATTCGTACCTCGCCGTCGGACAAGAGAGTGCCGTCCGCGGTGCAGGCCTCGACGAGGATGCAGGGGAAGACGCCGCGCACGTCGTTGAGCTCGCCCTCCCACCAGCCGTCGTCCACGTCCTCGCCCTCCTTCTTCACTATCAGTATGACGTCGCCCTCCATGAAGCTCAGCTCCTCCTCGCTCGTCTTCTCGTAGTCGTACATGGCCATGCAGTACTGCGGCCCGTCTTGCTGCTGCTGTTGCTTTTTCACCTGCTGCTGCACGTGATTATGCACTTGCTGCTGCGGCTGTGACTGTTTTTGCTGCTGCTGCTGTTCCTGCTCGATCCGACGTCTTTGCTGCTCCAGCTCCTGCTGCTCGCGCAGATGAGCGTCCGGATCGACGGCGTCGTGATCGTCGATGGTGTAGTCCACCGAGGAGAACGATATCTGCTGAGTGAGGCCGGTGGGATGGGTCACGAGGCCGCCACCCAAGCCACCGTCGCCGGCGCCGAAGCCGTCCTGGCCCTGGGGCTCGGGCTCGCGCTCCACGTCCAGATAGTTCTGGGGCACGTAGCCCTCCTCGCCCCGGTAGTTGCGCGCCCTCAGCCAGCCGTCGCCGTCGCCCTCGCCCACCACCTCCAGCTGCTCGCTCTCGACGATCGACAGCTCGTCCGGATTCTGCGCCGTGTACGAGTACAGGGCCGTGCACTTGTAAATGTTCTGATGCTGGCTGCTCTCGGCCGTGTCTCCGGCTGATTGTCTGCCGCCGTCGGCCGGGGCGTGCACCTCGGCGACCTCGGCGGCCGAGGAGTCGTCGTGGCCCCAGTCGGCCGAGGTCGGATCGTCCCAGCCGGCCGTGATCTCGTCGATTCGCTGCTTCTCTTGCTCCAGCAGTGCTGCAATTCACGATCGTACACGTTTATTTCGTTTGAATGCGTGTATTATCGTATCCCGAATGAAGATGTCGAATGAGTTCTCGTGCAAGTTCATAACAGGAGCTTTCGTAAGACCTTACGTATTAAATCATGAGTCGTAAATTTAATGAACTTATGTAAAGTCTTGACGAAAAAATATTTTGAATCGGCGTAAGAACATAAGAACTTGTGCAAGAATTTATTCAATATCTTCATACTGGGATAAGTCGTAAATCAACAACGACCCACAAATAATAAGCTAATGAATAGCACACCGTGATGTTACAACGTTCATATGGTAATATATATTTGGTGATATACACAATGTCGATGGACAACAAAGATGACGATTCGAGTGCTTTAACGTGGTATTATTATGCATATTATGAGACAATATTTACAATGGAGTTCGATCGTCGCATACACAAAAATATAATTACGTATTAATTAAGAGTAATAATAGTCTACCTGCGTCTCGGTAATTCCTCGCACCTTTGAGATTTTAGTACATTTTTTGTTTACCCCACAAAATCATAAAACAAGAGAGAGAAGAGAAGAGAAGAGACAAAAAGGGAAAGAAAATTTCAAATTAGTCAAGATAATTGTAAATCATAAACCAATCGTATTAACCGATTTATATAATAAATGATCGAAAAATCATATATATAGAGCCGGAAAGATCGGCAAAAGAGGCTCACCGTCGACCTCGGCGCTGTCGAGTCGGCGTCTCTCGTCGCCGCCCGAGTCCTCGTCCTCCCTCTGCTCGCGGCGATGATGGCTCTGGGCCGAGTCGACCCTCTGATGCTGTCCGCCTGGCCTCTCGACGGTGGTGAGGTCGCTGCCCGCCCCGTCCTGATCGCTGTCGTAGAACGAGTCCGAGGACGGCTGGCCGTCGGCGTTGCCCGAGTGATCGGTGTGCATCGAGAGCGAGCTCGCGGAGCGCGGCAGGTCCTGCACAGAGAGCGACTCGACCTCCTGCAGGAACTCGTCGACGTTGACGCCGCCCCGGCGCAGACACTCGATGCGCGCCTCGGCCTTCATCTTGGCGGTCTCGGCGCGTCGCATCGTCTGCTTCAGCTCCTCGATCTTGGTCTCGAGATCGGGCCCGTTCGGATCGTTGGGATCGGTCTTCTGGCCCGAGTCGCGCAGCTGCACCAGCGCCTGGAGCTTGCGCCCGGACTCCTTGAACGTGCTGATCTCGCGGGCGATGCGCTGAGCCCAGCGTTTGGCCTCCTTGGTCAGGGTCTGGGCGGCGGCGTGATCCACCGTGATGCGATCCACCTGGTCGTGATCGCACGGCTCGAACTCGTACTGTATGTGCTGCTTGAGGACCGGATAGTAGAGGCAGCAGCACTGGATGTTGTACTCGCGCGTGAGCTGCTGCGCCTGGTCGCGTATGATGCCGAAGCTGTTCTGCATGGCGAGGCAGGTCAGAAGCTCGGTGCGGCCCATGATCGACAGGTACTCGGCCACCTTGTCGTACACGCCTTGCTCCATGTACTGCGGGCCAAGCGAGAGAGAGAGAGAGAGAGTAAAGATGCGAGATCAGTATCGCCTGCGTTCGAGGTGCAACAGTTCAATTACAGCATGGATAGGAGGTGGACTTCGTGTTTGTCCATATTATTAAATTTGAAGCACACATTTTCAACTTGTTCCTAAAATTACATAGGGCTAACAGTCCTACTAATACTCTGAAGAGTGGTTTATCGATTGCGAGAGCGAGTCTCTCTCGGGATGCACCATCTGGCGGTGGATATTGAAACTCGAAAGTGCAAAGTGAAGAGGATATGAAATAACAAGTTCAAGTTTGATATGTTTGACTGAGCTCGTTATTGAATCTTGTAAAGCTTTATAAGCCATGTTCTCGGGGATACATGATTAAAAATATACCAACTTTCAAAGAGTTTAGCAACTTTGATGGATGCTAAGGGCTAATAAGGGGATTGAACATTTTTTTAATTTTTCTACTGACAGTATTAGGCTGTAAAAGTGAAATGATTTTTTGTTCGATGTCAGGCATACCAGCCTTTTTCAATACTCTATTCATAAGTACTTTGACCTACTAGATCCATAAAAATAATTAAATACATTGATATAAAGCTATGGACCTTCTTCGCTAAGTATATTTTACACATTGCACTAATTTTACATACTAACTTTTATATTAAAAATGATCAAAAATGAATAAAATATTTTATAAAAAAACATTTGATTGTATGTGAAAGTAGTTGAAGTTTATTTTATGCCTAGATTTTGGTTACAACCATAAGCAATGGCCTATCGAACAGAAAAAAGTATTATATATAGGACCAAATTGAGTCTTGCATACACTTGGTATTTTACTTCTTCTAGCTCAGATGTGTAAAATACTTAGCGAAGAAAGTCTATATCCTTATATCAATGTACTTGACTATTTTTATGGATCTTGTTGATGAAATACTTCAGAATGGGGTATTGAAAAAGGCTGAAATGACTGTCATTCAAAAAATAAATGTTTGTCACTCTTACAGCCTAACCCAGGTAAAAATAGTATGTAAGATCTGACTCCAGATCTGGCATCAGATCTGGTATAAGATCTAACAAATGTACGCCAGATCTGACATCAGATCTGATACCAGATCTTGTATTCGATAATCAACATCAGAACTTATATCAGATTTGACATCAGATCTAATATCAGATCTGAAATGACTGTATTGCCTCTGATTAATTAAACAATAAGTTTATTAATAATTAAAATTTTATAATAAATCTTAATAATAAAAGTAGTTGAATCAAATTAAATTCTCATTATCAGAAACCTAAATATTGTATAGGAATTTTTCTTAAAGATATTATCAATGTGATTATTAAGATATAACTAAATTTGTTATGCAGTTTTAATTGTTAATAAACTTATTGTTTAATTAATTAAATGCAATACAGTCACTTCAGATCTGGCATTAGATTTGATGTCAGATCTGATACAAGTTCTGATGTTGATTATCGAATACAAGATCTGGTATCAGGTCTGGTGTACATTTGTCAGATCTTATACCAGATCTGATGCCAGATCTGGAGTCAGATCTTACATACTATTTTCACCTGGGAATACTGTAAGCAGAAAAATTAAAAATATCTCTGCCCCCTTTTAGCCCTCAATCCACGTGAAATCCACCTCTTTCCACATGAATTTCTAACTACGAGTACATAATAAAAAAAGTGAGTACTCACGAGCATGGTCTGCTGCAGATCGACGACGAAGTAGCGATTCTGATGGGCGTTGGCGGCCGCCAGTGCCAGCAGATAGTCGTTGCGCGCCCCCGTGGACTTCTCCTCGAGGGCGTCGCGCTTCGACGTCACCTTGGCGCTGTTCTTCTGCAGCGAGGTGATCGACTGGAAGAACGAGCCCTTCTTCTTCTTCAGCTTCTCCTCGATGTCCTTGGCCTTGTCTCGCACGTCGTGCGCGCTGTGCTCCTCGTCGAAGTACAGCTTCTTCGTCTTGTCGACGTCCTGCACGCAGGCCTGCAGCTCCTTCTGGACGATGCACAGATTGTCCACCGATTTCTTGGCGATCGCCACCTTGTTGTGCTTCAGGCTCTTGGCCTCGTCGGCTATCTGCGTCTGGAACACCTCGCAGGCCGCCAGGCGGGCCCGGGCGAGTTTCTCGTTCTCCTCGAGGACGGTGCGCCAGACGTTCCACATGTTCCAGCGATCGTCCGCGGCATCGGTCTTGATGTCCGGTATATTGGGTATCTTCTTGTTGAGATAGGCCGAGGAGATCTTCAGCAACGCCTCGGCGTAGGACTTCTCTATCGCAGCCTTTTTATGCGTGAACGAGCTGTGCAGCGAACAATATTATATTTATTGAAGTCCTGCGAATATATATCTGATTTTTTTTCTTACCGAATGTCCTCCAGGAGATCGCACTCGTGTTGATTCTTGGCCAGGAGCTTGGCAGATTGCTCCGAATGGACATTTTTTAGAAATTTTGCGTATTGAACCTAAATCAGTTTTGAATTGATTAATAATTGTACCGAGGAGAATGGAGTTAATTTTTTTTAATCTCGCGGTTATTTAATTACTTTTTGGCCAAATATGGTATGTGTTGTTGGGAAATGTGTGGTAGAAATTTTTGTGCCAAGATGAAGGAAGGAGATCGGGCATTAACACAGGCTCCTACGGGAGCCGAGTAAAAATCAATGAGACATTTTTCAGGTATTCGATGTGGTCAAAATCATCTTTATTTAAATATTTTCCTACACTGAGAAAAAAAAATCATCAATTCAATGAAATTAAATTTAATATTTTATATAATATTAATTTAATCAAATGAATGATTGAATCAATGAAACTTTGGTAAAAACAATTAAATATTTTGTTGGAAAAACAATGAACAAAATATTTAGTTCAGTTAAGGGGAGGCTCTCATCTAGCGTCTCAAAAATGACGTGTTTTTCGTGATTTTTTTTTTCGTGGATGGAAGTGAATAATGCAGTCAAGTTTTTTGGTACTTATAAAGTATGTATTTAACTATATTTACAAACTTTTTCAGACCAAAATATCGAATTATTTATCGCCTAGCAGTGTTTGATAGAGGTTGTGTTAAAAAAAGGTACCTCAACGGGTGGCAAGCTAGCGCACTGAGAGAAGAATTTCTTAACAGTTAAGATATATCTTTATAGTTAGAATATACAAGGTTCGGCACTTCTATAAAGGTTATATTCTAACTATTAATATACCAAGAAATTAGCTATTAACATACATAATGTTACGAGATATTTCTATGGTAATGAATACAATTAAATTGTAAATAGATTTTTTTTATATATTAAAATGAAAATTCAATTCCGGCCCCCACGTGGACAAAAAAATGAAGGAAAAGTGTATGAAAAAAAGCGTAGGAAAAGTGTGTCTATACATTCGGAGATGCACTTTTGCTACACTTTTTTCTCGCATTGATAATCGAAAAATTCTACGATTACTTCGAGGATGTCGACTCGTTCATGCTCGATTTGTGCACCACGCCATGGTAGTCGAGGGCCAGGACGTAATATTGCCCTAGAGGACGACTTTCTCGAGGAAGTCGACGGGGTTTTACCCGTTCAGAGCACCACGTCGCGCTAGACGTGTACTAGGTGGAAATCTTGTACTCTTGGACGACTTCCTCGGGGAAGTCGACCGAGTTTTATCCTTTCAGAGCACCACGTTAGGCTAGAGGTGTAAAAGGTGGAAATTTTGTACTTTTGGAGATTTTCTCGAGGAAGTCGACGGGGTATTACCCGGTCAGAGCACCACGTCACGCTAGTCACAAACCAGGTGGAAATCTTGTACTTTTGGACGACTTCCTCGAGGAAGTTGACCGGGTTTTACCCGTTCAGAGCACCACGTCACGCTAGACGTGTACCAGGGGGAAATTTTGTACTCATGGTCGACTTTCTCGAGGAAATCATCCGAAAGTACAAGATTTCCACTTGGTTTGTGACTAGCGTGCCGTAGTGCTCTGACCTGGTAAAATTCGGTCGACTTCCTCGAGAAAATCGTCCAAAAGTACAAAATTTTCACCTTGTACACCTCTAGCGTGACGTGGTGCTCTGAACGGGTAAAACCCGGTCGACTTTCTCGAGAAAATCGTCCAAAAGTACAAGATTTCCACCTGGTACCCGTCTAGCGTGACGTGGTGCTCTGACCGGGTAAAACCCCGTCGACTTCCTCGAGGAAATCGTCCTCTAGGGCAATATTCCTGGTTCTCGACTACCATGGCGTGGTGCACCAATCGCGAGTGTGGAAGAATATGTCCATTCGCACATATCTCATTGTCAAACTCGTAAGGTAACTATTAATATATGAATCTTAAATGTAAAAATATCGCGGACCCAAAATTCAACTATGCGCTGCTTATTAACTGTCAAGAAATTCTTCTCTCAGTGCGCCTTCAGTTTTTGCCCGAAACTAAAAATGCGAAGTTCCTCTTAAGGAGATCTGGACCCCACATTTTTATCGACCGAGACACGCAAAGTTTCATTAATTTTTAACTTTTTCGAATTCAAATTTCGACAAATGGCTCTATGGCGACCTTCATTTTGTTACTAAACATAAGCAGTTAAAATTGCAGCCCATTCCATTGCGTAAATTTCCCGGAAAACTGGATTAAAATTTTGATCAAGCATGGATCAAAAGTCAGGATCAAAAATTATAATCCAGTTTTTCGGGAAATTTACGCAATGGAATGGGCTGCAATTTTAACTGCTTATTCTAAGCAACAAAATGAAGGTCGCCATAGAGCCATTTGTCGAAATTCGAATTACAGAAAAAGTTAAAAGTAAAAGAAACTTTGCGTGTCTCGGTTGATAAAAATGTGGGGTCCAGATCTTCTTAACGCAACCTCAAGCTAAGCATAAGATCAACTTTGACTACTTCCACATACAATTTAATAAAATATTTTATTCATTAATGATTATTTTTGATAAATTTTAATAAAATATTTTATTAAGTTGTATGTGGAAGTAGTCAAAGTTGATCTTATGCTTAGCTTGAGGTTGCGTTGATGGATAATGATCCATTGAAGAAAATGAAATGACATAGAACTTAGTCGTGTCAAGCCATCACTTAGAATCTTACGACAAACAGCTTAGATATCCTCAATGCTCTTCGCTGAAGACTCATAGGCTGATACAAGTTAATTTAAGTGTTTTTAAGTATTTAACTGGACAAATTACTTTCAAATGAGGTATTGAAAAAGGCTCTTATGTCTGTTTTCTAAAAAAAAAATTTTTTTCACTTTTTCAGCTTAATACTATAAATAGAAATATATAATTATTTAAGCCCCCTTTGAGCCCTTAAGGGGACCGACCTGTGTTAAAAACTTAAATTCAGCTTCAGCTAAAAATAGCTATATGAATCGAAATAGTGGAAATTTTTTTTTTGTGATAGTAAAATATGTTCATTCTACACCAGATTGACCAAAAACAACTTCTACCCAAGCTCTGAAATGCCAATTACATCACTTTTTTCATAAGACGAAATATTGTGTTATAAATCACTTGCCGCATGATCTTGAAAAGAGTTTTTCATCAATATTGATCTATGGGGTCTCAAAATCTTCAGAAAAGTACTCTCGTCCACCTAAGCGGAGCAGAATTTTGAAAAATTGCGTACAACTTTATATACACGTCAAAATGTGCCAATTTTTGAGAAAATTAGTATTTTATCAACATTAGAAGCCATATTAAAGCTCTTGGAAGAAAAACAAACTTTTTTTTTCAAATTCTACTCCGCTTAAGTGGATGAGGGTACTTTTCTGAAGATTTTGAGACCCCATAGATCAATATTGATGAAAAGCTCACGTCAGAATCTCGTGGCACGTGAATCCTATTATAATATTTAGTATTATGAAAAAATGAGCGTAATTGGCATTTCAGAGCTTGGATAGAAGTTTTTTTTTGGTCAATCAGGTGTCTAATAAACATATTTTACGATCACAAAAAAAAAATTTCCACTATTTCGATTTATATAGCTATTTTTTGAATTTAAGCTTTTAACACAGGTCGGTCCCCTTAATGAATAAATTATTTCACAATACAAACAAAATAATTTCATTCATGCAATAAAATAAAAAAGATTATTTCAATGAAATTGTTTCACAGATTGTATTTAATTAAATAATTTTGTTGAATCAATGAAATGTTCACTGTTTCAATAATTATTTTTTCTCATAGAAAATTTTTTCCCGTTTGTTTTCTCGATTTGAATCGCAGTTTCGGAAATGAAGGATTTTTACCCGCGTCATAATCGAAGCGCGCATAGTGTACTTTCTCTTATTCAATCGATCTAAGCGTCAAACCTTTCTCTTATTGAATCGTGGCTCGCATTACAATCGTCACTGCAGGTTACGAAACCACCGCGTGAGGAGCTATATTCGAAATATCGTATCTAACCGCAGCTAGTAATATTCTCGTGAAAAAAGTGAAATATTTCGAAATCATAAGTGATTGTGTTTGTGTAAAATAAAACGATGTCGATCAGTACAGGTTCTCATTTTGAATATCTACAGAACGATCCCGTCGGAAGCGTCTTTTCAAAGGAATCGATGAAGAGAATGCGAGAAAAAGTCGATTGGGCGAACGAACAAGAAAGACATCGATTTTTCCTTCAAATTGACGCCTTGATCAAGCGATGGCAGGGCCCACTTCCAAATCTTCGAGAAATTTTTCGAAGTAACGAAATAGATTGGCTTCTGTGGAAGGATCTGAAGCAGTACCCTTGCTCAAACAATCCATTGTTAAATTTCCGCGAACGTTACCCCATCATCGACTTTGTGATCAGTACCGGATACAAGGACGAGCCTGATTTCGATGGAGAAGGTAGGCCATTGTTGCATCGAACAACTGCATTGCATCACGTTGACGAAAGCTACTTTCACGCGGTATCCATAATCGGTGATCTTTTTCTAATATATGATAAATTTAACGCAAATTATATCAACGAATCTGGATATTCACATTTCCACGTGGTCTGTCGATTTAACTGTCTTGACCTCATTGAGAAATTCCTCGTGGCGGGGCAAGATCCCAATTGCATCGTGAAATCGACAGGCGATTCGGTGCTCCACCTGCTGTGTCGGGGCCACGACAGTCGTGTCATTGAATTACTGCTGAGACGAGGCGTCGATCCAAATATGCCCAACAAGGAGGGAAAGACTTTTGTGCACGCTATGACAAGCCAGACACCTTTCGATGAAGCCATGGCGAATGCCTTTTTCGTCTTAAACGAGGAATTGAATCATCTGGTGCAAGTTGACGCACTGGACAATGAGGGCCGGACACCATTAAACTTGGCTCTGGAAAGGAAATGCGAGGTTGCGGCAAAATTTCTTCTGATGAAAGGCGCCGAACCGCATTTGGCTGATAATCATGGATGGAGTTCTCTGCACCACATCTGCCGTAGCTTCCGCGACGACGACGTTGTCAGGTGGTTTATCAAGATCAACGAGGAAAGAAATCAATTGGTCAAGGTTGATGCCCGAGACAAGTTGGGTCGGACGCCTCTTCAGTGGGCCGTGACAAATTTTCATCCATTCATGGTGGACGAATTGTTGGATCATGGTGCTGATCTGTACAACTTCGTTTTTCCCACTAAGAGTCATTTCGATGAGTGCATTGAAAAACTGATGGAAAATCATTGGGAGAAATTAGAGTTAGCGTCCGGGTTGCTAGCCGTCGTACAACTTCTCGAGAAAAGAGGATACGAGCTAGATCGACGAGACGCCTTGACCATCATGGAATTGCTTTCTAAATTCCAATTGTTCGACGAGTTTACGGATGTTGAAAAATCTTGCTTCGACTTCGAGGAGTTCGAGAGAAAAGCCAAATTGATAAAGATAACAACGGGTAAGTGGGAAAGAGAGGGCGAGGCCGAAAGTTCGAAACTACCGTCGCTTTTCGATTTGATGCAGTCGCGACCCAAAGAAGCGGCGAAACTACTCACTTACGAGGACTACTTCGAATTTGCGCAGTCGCGCGAATTTTCAGATCTTCCCAAAGGGACCAGAGATTATTGCGCATCGCACCTGTGCGAGAAACTATCGAGAAGTTTTTTCCTGGACTGGGCGCTGGAGCCTTACATAGAGCTGACACATTACCGACTGACGATTCTTTGTTGTGAAATGATTATCGAGAATTTGCCGAACAAGGATTTATATAAAATTTGTTTAGCGGCTACGAATCAAACCGATAAGGACGATAAAATAAAAAAATGTAATAAGGTAAGACCCATCAGAATTAGAAAAGCTCCAAAAAGGCTACAAATTGAATGGCGAAAAAAATCAAAGTAAAAAGAGTGAAGAAGATGATTATTCGTTGGTTATTTGCTCGGCGGCTCAGGAAGAAGACCTTTTTATGTTTTTTAAATGTCTAATATCGTCGCCCCAGCGCAAGAACCGCACGAATAAACTTAAGGGTCAAAAACAACCTTATCCCTATGTTAAAAGGATAGGATTAAGGCACCTTTTTGGCACTTGAGTTTATTTGTGCGGTTCTTGCGCTGAGGCGACGATATTATTATTACATGTAGCAGATTTACCATATCATTCTAATAAATAAAAAAAACCATAAACCATAAACCATATCATTCTAATAAATAAATTGATAAAAAAAAAATGTCCAATTATTTTGCGTATTATTCATTTTCTCACTACTCTGCTACAACCATGGCACCGTGTAGACGCGAGCTGCACGAAGAAACATTGTACAGCAATCGGGGTAGTAAGAGAGAGTTTGAGCGCGACCACAGGCCTCAACTATTTAACAATAAACCATTATTTATTCATTTGTTAACTGTGACTGCCTTGATTATTACAATTGATAAATTGAAAAAGAAGCGAACGCCTCCTAGATATAACTTATCGTTTTATAATATCGTTGTGAATGGTATACAACGTAGCTGTAGTCAAAATAATAATAATAATAATAAACACGTAAATAATAAATGCAAAAACTTGAAAATGAATTAATTCTGTTACAAAAGCTCCTACAGCTTTGTAAGAAGATTTTTCGTTTCATATGATTTTTCGTGATCATATGATTTTTCATATAATTTTTCCCAGCAAGAAAGCAAACCCTTATTTTAATATAAAAACCATTAGAGTGGAAGTGCCAAAATATAATTTAAAGTCTGAATTTATTAATGTCATTGAAAATAAAGAAACTAATTTTGAAAATAGCTACAAAAATGTTCGTTCAGAGCACAACAAATTGGATAACTTGAAAGAGTTTCCCATGATTTTTTTCAGCAGGGATCTCGTGCAAAAAAAAAGATCCGACTATAATCCTTACACACTCGACAAAATGTATATGCACAATCTACACCGGGGGTCGTTTAAATGGTCGCGACTCGCTTTGTAATAACAATCCATATGCATAAACGTGGTTTAAGACACCCCCAGCCGCTTCGCAGCGAACACGCGCCTGGCTATATACGTATATTTGATTATTATATCACGTATACGTACGTATACATAGAATTGCATAAGCCAATAATGAATAATATATTTTTCATTCATCGCCGAGCGCGTATGCACGTAATACAGCGCTATTATACATAGAAACGTCTCGCCTATACATTATTACGTTATCGCAGCCGCTATGTACATACTGTATACAGGGCCGAAGCGGCGGTCGGCTTGGAACTTCAATTTTCCTCTGCTGCTGCTCTCCGCTCTCTATTAATACGGCCTATATACCCGCTCTGGAGACTCGTGCGCGTGTAGTAATATCGTTACGTGTGTATCTCCGAGCGCAACGTAAATTAGGCCGCCGCCGACGCGCGCGAGCATTCGATGATTACATTTTTCAGTTTTCTTCTTCTTTTTTCTTCTTTTTTTTTTCTTTCTCGCGCGATTCTCGGAGAGCCCTTTCTCGCAGGCGATAGAGGAGATAAGATACTATTGTAAAAACAGGAGGTCGTGGAGCGGGGGTGTATATATCGAAAGCAAGGTTGCTCTCACCCACTCACACGCACACACACACATACACATACACGCATGCTTACTTGTTCTTGCGTGTGTAACATTACTACACTGGGAGGAAAATTGAAATTTTTATCGATCGACGCGGGCGGAAGGGGGGCGACTGCTTGAAAATTTCTCGTGTTATTACTTTTCGATCGATCGATCGAGCCGTATTTAATATCGAATATAAATTTTTCATCGGGGGCGATAGATCGAATTGTGCATCGAAGCTACTACTATCCTCGACGCGTCCATGTGTATGTGTGTATACGAGTGCACAAATTGTGTCTTTTACCGAAGTCTTGCGTGTGTACATGTATACACGTACACACACTCAGACATCATTCATTTATCGATTGCAGCCGCGCACCAAGTTCGCTTACTACAACTATACAACTTGCCACAACTACTACTACTGCTTCTACTACCACCATTATATACGAGAAGAATGAGGAATCGAGTGAGGTAAAGGATGGACGTCCGAAAGGTTTTCTCGCATCGTTGTATACACGCATCATAATGATTATTTTTTTTACCCCTCGTCGATCAATCGTTATAAAAGCGCGAGAGAGAGACCCAAAAGAATATATCGAAAGCCACCACGCGAGAGTTCGCGGATTCCGCGACTGATCGATAAAATAGCGTATATGTACACACACATATACACGAGCGCAAAAGCACGAGAGAGAGAGAGAGAGAGAGAAGTGTGAGAGCTTCCGAAAACGCACAGTAGAACGAGTTGGAGTTTAGTCAGCCAGTGGCGCAAACTATATGCCACTATGCACACTTCGATCCTTTTCTCACGTATCTTGTATATACTTTTTTTTTATTATCATAGATTTTCCTCTCTTCGAACCTAAACGAGTTAAAAACGGAACCGCAGGGGGATTATTGGTAACAACAATTCCGAAAAACTCACTTTTCTCGGCGGCGGCTGCTGCATCTTGTCCACACCACCAGCAGCACGCGTGCGTGCGTGTGCCTTGGCTCACTCTTCCTCGTCGATCAACAATTATTCGAGTACACTATGAAGCACTCCCCCGTGTCGTCGTCGACACCTTTGTGACAATTTTTTTTTCGTCAACCCCTTCCGAACGAAAAAGAAAAAACGAACAACACACAACACCACACGACGACGACGATGGAACGAGGAAGTCGACGACGAGGGGCGCCCGGCGGCACACAACTGCTGCTGCTGCTGCTGCTGCTGCCCGCCCCGTTATATTACACACGAGTCACGCATATACACACCGAGCCACACTGTGCTGCCTTCTGCGGGGGCTGCAGAGCGTCGTGCACTCTCTCACTCTCTCTTCGGCGGAGTGACTCTGCTGCTGCTGCTGCTGCTGCCAGCCAGCCACAGCTAACTACCCCCTATTGATCGGGCCGGCGCCTGCGCGACTTGTTCATAATATTTGCGATTCCTGAGACTCGTTGTCGCGGCAGCTCGGCCAACCCCTTTTCGCGCGCGCGGGCTTATCATACGTCGTCGTCGTCGTCGTCGTCGTCGTCGTCGTGTGACGCAGGTGTGGAATTGTATGAACTATTTTTATAAGAATGTACGAAAAAACAAACAAACGCATCGACGTTGAATTTCTGTGTGGACTCATTTTTTTTATTGTTGTAATCATTATTATTATTCAACTTTTCGTTTTCTTCAATGTATACAGGTCATTGGTATCTTTTTCGGCTGTCTTCTCTTTTTTTTTCGCGTTACAACAATACGAATAGACAAAAGTAACTCTCCGAAAAATCACCTTTTTTTTGATGATGAACAATTGACAAAGTTTATAGTATTACTTATTCGAAAAAATTACAGCTCAACAATGACGAGCAAAAATCGTGTGGACGAAGGTTTTTCACAATGTTTGAAGTTTACGAAAAAACTTTGGAACAATTATCGTGGCGATAGAAAGATTTGATTTTCTTTTTCAGTTTTCTTTGCCCTGTTTTAACGAATTTTTGTTCGAAAAGATCCCCAGCGACCGATACATATTTACAAAGGTACAAAACTGGTAGTAGAATATAATTTCCACGGTACGTTATTTTGTTTATTTTTTCTCGTCCAAATTATCTCTTTTCTACTTTTTGATTTACATAATTCAGATAAATATTTATTACATATTTACATCGTCTATTCAGGTTTTTTCCAGTGTTATTTTTATGCAAAGCATCGATCTGATTATATTGTAAAAATTCATCAACCAATCTGACTTATTAATATTTTGATATAAAAATTGAACTTTATTTTTGTTTTTTAACGATAAATTTTCATCTAATTTGATATAGAGAGCACTGTAAAGTATCGAAAAATTTGATGAATCTTCTTGGAAGCAAATTCACATCAATTATTATTTTTTTTGTCAACGATCGATTACAAGTATAACATTAAAAATACTGAAACTTGAAGAAAATTAGTAATTACAATTGATTCATTCCAAAAACGTCTTCTCAATTACATGACAAGCCGCATTGTACTTTCAATTAATTTTATTCGACGAAGCTTATTGAAGGGTAAATACATTTAAGAAATGCACAAAGGTTCGCGAGAAATTTTTTTGAATAAAATCTCGACTTTTTTAATCAACTGTATGAATACTATACAACGACATCGTAGAAAAATAACGAGTTACAGAATTTGTAAAACCCTTCGTATTTGCGCGGAACAAAAATTACAGAACGACACTTTAACACTGCAACAATACCAACGAAAAAAAAAATTCAAGACAAGTTACGTATCTTACAATTTTTCATTATAACTGGCAGTGAAACATTAGTTAACACGTACGGCGAATACTATAGTTTTTTTATATCTTTTTTTTTTGGTTTATCAGCATTTCTCCCACGCGCAATGTACTAAAGTTATTATTAAAGCATCTACGTAGTGACGTGTAGGCTTTTCATCCGGCGCTTTACTTTCTGCATAATAGTCTCATATGATTTTTTTATGATATAAGCTTATAAAATATACATCTGAATGTTTCTTTTACATATTTGCTAAATTAACGATATAGTAGGGGGAGGAGAGGTTTACATTGTAAAAGGTTGAAATCAGTCAATTGGGAAATACAGTACTATCGCATCGCCCTGCGAAACAGACGGACGATAAAGGGTAGGAGCGAGGCGGCGTGCGAAAAGGAAGAAGACAGTTTGGGCTTCAGTCGTGATAGGGAGTAGTATCTCGTCAGTCGTGGCTGCTGGCTGTACGCATCAGCGGATGGCTGTTGCTCTTCTTGGTTTTCCAGGAGACTCGCTTTTTCGCGAGGGCCGACGCCGCCGCGCCGCTCCAATAATTGTCGCCGCCGCTCGCTGGTGGTTCTTGCTGCTGAGCTGCAGAAGCTGTCAGTAGCTCCGCTTGTGGCTGCTGCTGTTGCTGCTGCTGCCGCTGGGGCTGATGCTCCTGCTGTTGTGGCTGTTGTAGCTGTCGGGGCTGCTGCAGCCGTTCCAGAGGAGGCAACGGCTCGAGTAGTTGCAGCCCTTTCTCCATTACTCAGGGCTGCAGCTGCTGCTGCGGCTCGTCCGCCGAGTTGGCGGGCTCAGGCTCGGCCGCCGCATTCATGAGGGCCAACGCAGCGGCACCATCCACCATCGGCGCCTCTGTGTGATGACATCGACGTACTCACAATCATTAAGTTTCGATCGAGAAGCCATCGGCCGGAGAATTCTCTCCGCCTACAATGTGGCCTACGAGGATGATCATCCTTACCAGGGTCGAAGCGCGGCCCGGCGTCCTCCGGCGCGGCCCTGATCTCGAGCCGGGCGATGTTCGCAGCGATCATGGGGTCGACCGTCGAGGAGTCGAGAACCGGATCGGCCGTGGCCTCGGCGAGATTCGTCACCGACTTGGACTTGACGCACTGAAAGTCCACGTGGCGGCTCTTGGCTTCCTCCTTCTCCCAGGACATGTGTATGAAGGGCCGCTGCACGTAGTTGTAGATAACCTCGGCCCTGCCCCCGGCGCGCTTCTTCACCTTCTCCTTGTAGGTGGGGTAACCCTCGATGCCAAGGCGTATCTTTTTCAGGCCGCGCTCCTTCATCACCTGCTTGGCTACGTCGCGATTCTCGATGTATTTGAAAAATCGATACATGGCTGTGCTATTGACGGCTGTGGATAATGACGAGAAAAAAATTAGTAAAGGCATTGAGTCAACTAATCGAATGAACTCACTTTGGGAATACTCCTCGCCCATTTGCGGCGGATACTCCTCGTCCCAGTCGACGACGTCCTCCTCGAGCAGAACGACGACGTGACACTCGCGATCGCCTCGGCGAGCACTGTTGACCATCAACGGCAGTATGAGATCCTCGAGGAAAACCTCGAACTGGGATCGGGCGCCCTCGTTCGACAGCTCGTGCAGCAAACCCCCTGCAAAATAGGGGAGGAGGGGTGGGGGAGAAAGAAGAAAGAAAAAAAATTAGTCCGCGCCGAACCCGGTTGAACGATCGTTATCGAAATAATCGCAGACCTCGCCCGGACTTACTGAGATTCTGACACTTCACGGTACCGGCATCGAAAGGCACGAGCAGATAGTCGCAGGCCTCGCGCAGCTCCTGCACCGTGACCGTGGGCGGGCAGTGTATGACGCCCTCCTTGTAGTACTCGAGCACGGCCCGGAACACCATCGCGGACATGCCGTCGGCGACCTCGTACTCGCCGCGCTCGTTCTTCTGGGCGAACTCCATGCCCGAGCTGAACATGCGCCCGAGCATGGTGTTCGGGTGGGCCGTGAACAGCGACGGGTCCACGACGAATCTTTTGATAAAACAAAAAAAAAGCCGCGTTACATCGAATGTTTTACGCTCGTATGTGGAGAACTGGGAGCTTTATTACCTGGTATTGTCGACGATCAGTATTTCGGTGGTCGGAGGATGCAGCGTCACCGCCGACGTGTTCATCACGACCTCGCGATTCTGGTTCGGTTGATTCTTGGCGATACCCATGCCTGGTCTGAGTCTGAAAAGTCACGCAACAAAGGGGGGATGAGTCTTACGCACGTGTGCGATCTCCCGAATCTCTCGATTACGACGATTCACAATTTTTTTTCTGTTTTTTTTTTTTATCTCACGACAATTTTATTTTTTTACTTTTTTTTTTATCCACCTCAAGCTAAAAGATACACATATAATAATAAATTGCACACATACAGTATAATAAAGAGCTTTTTATTTACACAAGTTCGATCGATGTTTGTTAATGAATGACGATGAGTTAAAAACTGAATATAAATCACATGTAATAATAAATACAAAAAATAAAAAAGACCAATCGAACGGAACGTAAAGTAAAAAAATCGAAGAGATATAAAATGCAAAATATACATAAAAAAAAAACATGAAAAAACAAAACTAAACAAAATAAAAAAGTTTTCCAAGTGAACAAAATTACCTTCCGTGTTGTGCTAAATTTGTGCTTTGTCTGCTTGTATCGTACGAACGACTATGATGTTTGCTGTTCCCATCCCGATGTGCCAAACAAGATTTCGGTTTGGTCGAGCCACCACAACTACATGCAAAACAATCACATATTTTTTTTCTTTTTTTTTCTCTTTCTCTCTCTTACAAAATTCCTATTGATTAACCTTCGGAAGAGCACATTTTGTCTTGTACATTTTATAAAGGGGGGGAGCTTTTTTTTCAAGTATCGTTCTAATAACTTTTGCAAAAAACGAAAATTATAATAGAAAAAATGATAATGGCATCGCAAATGATGGATGATAACTATGTATAAAAAATTTATTTAGTTGTTTGATTTTTGCTCAAAATAAGCAAATCATTGAGAGATTAACTGTTGCCTTGAGCAAAAATCATTTTTTGTTACCATTTTTCTGCAGTCAGTTGTCTCAGGATGATGAAATTGTAGAGTTAATAAGTCTTATTCACTACTTACCCATCTTGCATTTATGTTTAAATCTAAGAGTTATTGTGTAATTAGTATTTATCCTACCTTGAACGATTCTTGTAAGATCGTCTTCTTTCACGCTCATCCGATTCTTTACAATCAGTCTCTGTATCACTACTACTGTCTTGCAGGTAATTCAGACGATCTGCAGGATTTGACATCTCGTGTCTCCTGTACAAGAAAACTTTTGATCAATATTATTTTTTCAATTCTACTGAGTCTATTAAAACTATTCATTAAATTGTATACTTCATGAGAAATAGATTGATAAATGAGATATCATATTTACTTCAATATTCATGTATTTAAGTCACAATGATCAATGAATGAAATTGTTAAACACATTTGGGTCTTCCCATAAAGTACAGAATTAAATATTAAAAAAAAAATGTTAAGTAAGTCTGCGAATCTCTTACAGACGCAGTTTCTTATCCCCATGCACTCCATGGATGTCCTACATGTCTCACAACGTTGACGCAGTTTGACAGAGTTCTCATCAAGAGGAATGTATGATGGATGGCTAGATGGCAAGTATACAAAGTTTGGAGATGATGAAAAAAAAAAGAGATAAAATAGAAATCAGACGATGGTGTCAAAAAAAGTTGACGTATTTGCTACTGAAACATGAACACTTCTGCACCGTGCACTCATTGAGACTCGAGCACCTCTCTCTTACTGCAGCGCGCTATGAGCAAAAAGCAAAGCTAGACACCAAGTTCAAGCGATAATATTCCATGTGAACTTGATGGAAATAGATATATAGATTAATTTATTTGACCTTTGCTCATTGTTTCATCTTGTTAAAAGCTTATATTACACGCGAGACAACTCACACACAACAATCATCATAGCTATTACCAATTGAATATGCAATCTTTGCTATCGCGCGCGTCAAACCTTCGAGCGTCGTGTCTATCAATCTATTTTTAGTCACAGATGAATAATAAAAATCATGAGACACCGAGCTCGGGGGGGCTCTATACACAATCGTCGCCCAGCTTGATATTTACAAAAAAATTACCCGCAGACACGGCCAGCACGATAACTGTCACACAGCTCGAGTCGCAGGATGCGTTTTATTGTTGTTGTTTTTTGTTTGCTTTTGCGTGTACGAAGTTGGGCGCGGTAATGTAGATCAATCGATGTAAGCCCGTCTTCGTTGCATCGCGGCCAGTATAGATACATACGATGAAAATATAATGCCGAAACACACGATCCGCGATTCTCTCGATTTCTCAATGAAAGCTCGAATGCACGTCATACGCACACATGTATTTGGGTATATACGTCATGCATACGATGCGAGAGAAAAAGTGTACGTGACACGTTGATTGTATATATAACTACACATATATACGTACATATACTTGTATATAATGCGAACACGGACGAGTCTATGAAGTAGAATAACTGCACATGGCGATCGCGAGACACACAAACAAGAGGTAGAGTTTAAATGGGTGACTCACTGCAGTGGACTGCCCTTGATATCCGATGCCCGGAGTCTCCAGGTAGATTAAAGTGCCACCACCGCAGCTGTCGCGACGACGACAACACACGATTTGTAACTGGCGTTATGTATATATACGACGATCCGACGTTCGCTGCTGCTTTACCCAAACGTTGAAGGAACTAGACTGCAGTTTTATGCGCGTTGCTCTCTCTCTCGAACATAATAGCGAGGTGTGTGTAGTACGCCTTTATATTATGACAGGCACACACAAAGATAGTGTGCGTCGTACGTGTGTGTGTGGTTGTACTGCTGCTGCTGCTGCTGCTGCTGCTGCTGCGCAGAGAGACCCAAACAGCGATGCGTGCGAATTATAATTATCAAACGATGTTTGCGATGCTGCGATTTCTGGAAATGATAATTACGATTAGTTAGAAAAAAATTTAGAATAATTAGGTTAAAATTTATTGGTTTCGATTCTTGAAATAAATTCTGACTTTGAAGTCGTCGTGCACAACGCCAACAAAGGGTTCGGTTGATGATCCCTGATCGTCGCTTGTTTTTCTTTTCTCAGCTTGAATTTCAATAGTTATTAGAGCCGATATCACGAGTAATGCGATCGCTTCGAACAACAGCACTAACTCCGGCCGGAAGTGCACTCGATGGCCAAACAATTGAACGTCGGGCCGTTTACACAGGCTCAAACCAGAAATTCAACCGAATTACTAGAGCGTTGAGATCTAACTCTCGCGTTCTTTCCGTTAAAACTTGGTATCATAATCGTTATCGTAAAGAATCAGCGTTTCAGTAATTTTGACTAACTTTGATTTCAACAACGAAATTTGCGCTCAATCCATCATTCGTATAATTTCGAGTACGTTCAGCGCGTGCGAAAATCCGAAGCGCCGCGTTTCGCGACAGTCAGCACGAATTCGCACACGAGCAACGAACCTTTCCCCCCCCTTCTCTGTAGAATTTCGCGACTGCGAATGTGTATGTGTTGATGATGCATATAATTGCGCCTGTTTACCAATGCACACACTGACGCACGCATACAAACAAACACGCGTACACGCATCTGCTGCTCTCTCTCTTCTTCCGAATCGCGCAGAGGCATCGCGAAATTATCCAGTTGCCAAGTTGACGCCTCGCGTGCTGCTGCGTGTCTGCATGCGTGTGTGATACCGTGTGTCTGTGTTCGTGCCTATATAAGCGCCAAAACGAGTGTCTTCTGTAAATATATATATATATATAAATTATATATCTGTATCTATATAAATCGTGTTACACGCGCACGAGTCAGCACAGCGTAGTAAAACTCATTGTTTATTTGGGCATCGTCGTCGTCGGAGCAGAGAGACAGAACATCCTCTGTTTTTAGTGTTTCCTGCCTGCAGCACCCCCGCGTCATCGTCTTCGTCGTCGTTGCCAACGAGGCCGTCCTGTCACGCGGGAATCGAGAGAGTCAACGTGCGATCGTTGCTGTTTACAACAAACAGATACAGCCCATAGAATAAAAATGGAGAGCATCTTTCACGAAAAGGTAGGGGAAATTCTCTTTTTTGCATTTTCGCACTTTTATTTATAGATTTTTATACTCAATGAACGTGAGTGAGCTCGCGAGATTTCCGTCGTCGAAGCCGAGAGAGAGAGAGAGAGCTTATTTTGGCTTTGATGCAATTGGAATGCAAGCTCATTCATTAGCTGATGAGATGAGACACTGACTCAAGTGTTTATTTGAGTCCACTTGGTGATTAACGATGCATGATTTTTGCAGCAAGAGGGCTACCTGTGTGCCCAGCACTGTCTGAATGCCCTGCTCCAAGGACAGTACTTCGATGCCGTCCACCTGTCTGAGATTGCCAGCCAGCTGGACGCCGAAGAAAGACGAGCCATGGCTGAGAGTGGAGAAGATACAGATGATTACAGAAGGTTCATTGAGGTATGTTTGGCTCTGATTGTAAATAGCAGTGTCGATGTCATTGAATATTGCTACAAAAAGATTTGTATTTGTGTTGTAGCAACCTTCTGGTAACATGGACGACAGTGGATACTTCTCAGTTCAAGTTATAAGCAAGGCACTGGAAATATATAATCTTGAACTGATTCCTTACACTAGTCACTCAGAAGAACAAGCTGAGAGAGCAAGGGATGATCCATCGTAGGTTACTCGTTATTGGTGCTTCGGAAAATTTAGTACTCTGTCCTTGTTGGCAAAAAAAGTTTGCTATTTTTCCAAAGTGTCATATGTTTTTTACCTTCTATGTATCTTTTTTGTCCTAAAGTTTTAATATTTTTTATTTAGGCAAATGAAAGCATACATTTGCAACTACAAAGGTCATTGGTTTACCATCAGAAAGCTTGGAAAGCAATGGTTTAATCTCAATTCTATGCAGTCTGGACCACAGCTTATTTCTGATACATATCTTACATTGTATTTATCACAATTGATAAATGATGGTAATAATTATAATATTGAATATCATTTTCAAAATCTGTACAAATCAAAAACTATTACTAATGCATTTTGTTCATTAGGTTATTCTATATTTATTGTTAATGGAAACTTACCAGCTTGTGAAGCTGATGAAGTCCTCAGAAAAAACCCAGTAACGGTGTCAAGGTCCAAGGCTACCTCAACCACCTCAGCAGCACCTTCAAAACCAACTAGTTTCTCATCCACAGGCTACAGATTGGGTACTCGAGCTGAAGATGACGCAAAAATAATGGAGGCGGCTGCAGCATTGACTTCTGTTGTTGTACCCTCCACATCCAATTCCAGAACTCGCAGTAGGCCAGATATTGAAATAATTTCAGAAAACATTAAACGACCACGCGAAAGAATAATACCCATCAAAATAGAGGGCCGCGAAGAAATAGAAATTAACGAGGATGACGACGACGATGAACTGCAGAGAGCTTTACAATTAAGTTTACAAAATTTCGAACAGGAAGAAAGAAGCAATCCTGCCCAAAGTTCAACGGCACCACAGTGCTCGGGTATGGACGACGCCGAGGAAGACGATGACTTGAGACGTGCGCTGCAGTTGAGTCTCGAATGCGTGACAGCCCCACCAACGCCGGATCAGGAACACGTTCGTTGGAAAAGGCTTAATCATCTCACGAGGAACTCCTCGAGCGACAGCTCGGCTAAGCTGTCTAATTTATAACGCTGTCCCAATTGATCGTTTGTTGAAAAATTCAAATTTTTATTATGTGAATAACAAATTTTTTTGCATGTGTAATGTGAAAAAAAGTATAATTGTTGTTACTTGTGTTACTTCTCTTTTTGATCTTGAAATAATGATGGTTAAGAGTTATTACGGAACATGACACCGACGTGCTGTCGGATTTCAAAATCAAAGAACTCAGTTTTCGCCATGAATCACATTTACGATGTTGAAAAAGTTGAAATTAATGTTAACCACATCAATATAAATCTATATTATTCGTAATTTCTTTAAATCTGTACAATGTAAAGTGTATTTTTCTTCGAGCAGCTCTGCTTATGCCTCGATTTTTTAAATGATTTTATCATTATAATATTTTTAACAGTTCAAATTACTAACTTAGGCACTTGTACATTTGAGAGAATGAAAAAAAAAATTGAATAAAGTATTTTTTCAGTTCGTACAATCTCACAAATCTCTGCAGTACTTTATTCGAACGAAAAAACAAAAATTTCCAAAATCCAAGTCCATGCTTACGCTTTTATCAAAGTGCAAAACATAAATTTACAAATAAAGTCCCAAATTTTACTGAATATACCGAATTAATTGAAATTCAAAAATGTTCGGCGCGCAATCACCGGCGCTCTCTTCGTCGTTTTCATTTACCTCGCGCAGGGGGCGTAGGTTAGGTATTCTTCGGTTCTATCGGCGTTACACTCTTTTTACTAGCCTGGAAACATAACGGGTCCAAGGTATGTAAACCAATGTTAATTTAATTAATTTAACAGTGAATTATTATGAAAAATTGCGTAACGCCTCGTTACTTCATTACGCCGAAAACTTGCTAATTGTGCCGAAGACTACTTTTCTGTTCGATTATTTATGAAAATCAAAAATTTTAGTGGATACTGCCGACGTTGCCGCGTGTTCAGTTCTCCATACTAACCACATGTGCTATAATTGTTTATAATCGATTGTTTAAATTTACGGTGTTGACACAGTTAGTCGTTTTCAGTGTTTACTTCAAAGGTGTAACTTACCATTGAAATGTTAGTTATGGGTTACTTAACTTTAACATCCAAACTTTAACATAGTCTAACCTATATTGCAATTTCTGACTACCATGATCTTTTAATCAGAGTACTAGTCAGTAAGCATTTACTGAAGTAATGAGTGCTAAAATTACCTGTTTCACTACATATAACTTATTCTTGTTTGATAAATTTACTTAACCACTTCAATCTTTTCTAGATGCTGGCAAATGGTGGAAAAATCCTCAAGGCCGGAGGCGCAGAGCCTGATGAGTTTGAAAAGAGTATCGCTCAAGCTCTTATGGAGTTGGAAGCCAACTCTGATTTAAAAACTCAATTGAGAGAGCTTTACATTACCAAAGCTCGTGAGCTCGATCTTGGCACCAAGAAGGTAACTATTAGTAATTTATAGCTTTTACTCAAAGTAATATTATTCAATACAACATAGTTATGAAAATGATTTTACTGTTTTCCAGAGCATCATTATCTATGTGCCAGTTCCCAAACTGAAACAGTTCCAGAAGATCCAAACTCGCCTCGTGCGTGAATTGGAAAAGAAATTCAGCAACAGACATGTAATGTTTGTTGGTGAGCGTAGAATCCTCCCTAAACAGACCAGGAAAACAAGGAGCCAAAACAAGCAGAAGCGCCCAAGAAGGTAAATATATCATTAAAACATTTATTAGTGCAAGATATGTTTTAAACTTCAAGTTGTATATTAAAATCTAAAGACATGCATTAAATTGTTTTTCAATTGCTGGTAATTAACTCTACAGCTTACTAACTATTTTTATTTTTTACAGTCGTACCCTCACAGCTGTCTATGATGCTCTGTTGGAAGACTTAGTCTACCCAGTAGAGATTGTCGGCAAAAGGACCCGTGTTAAGCTTGATGGCTCACAACTCATCAAAGTTCATTTGGACAAAAATGAACAAACCAACATTGACCATAAGGTAAATCAATCAGTTTCATACTGAAAGATAGCTCAAATTTTATCTTGACAAATTATTACAATAAAAATTTATTTCTCTTACAGGTTGACACATTTGCAGCTGTGTATAAGAAACTCACTGGCCGCAATGTAACCTTTGAGTTCCCAGAATCATACGCTTAAGTAAATTATCAATAAAAATAAATTATTGAATAAATATTTTTTATTTTTACAAGATTTATTATTAGTATATAATATCACCCATCAGTCATGCCTCTTAACTTTTGTATTCGGATAATCTGAAGAGACTTAAATTATTTATTATTTATAAAATTAACGAATAATTTGACTTTATATGTCCAGAATATGTTAATGTCTAGAATAGTTTACAGGATAGAATTCTGTTAATTGATAAACAGAAAGTAATTTATAATTTCATTCATTAAATCTTGTTGGAATCAAGACTTTACTCTCACAAATTCATTCTTTTTCAATTGTAACGAAAGACAGAACAGTTTTATTAAAAGAATCTGTAAAAAGTTCATCTTACGATGTAATTGAAAATCTCTCGGCTCAAATCGCGCGCATCAAGACAATCGTTTTCACATATTTTCCCGCAGTCCAAATTACTCAATAAACCTACGAATCCTCATCCAAACAAGCTCATTAAACTCGAAAATCTTGCCTCATTTTTAGACGTTGCTCTTCTTTAAATCCTTCGAACGCGCACATACGAAAATTTCAAACTCGGTAATATACGAAACGCGAGTCGTTACGCCTTAGCGAGTAGGTAGCAGTAGTTCCTAGTTTAGGGCTGTTTCAATTCTCGACAAAGTACCCCCTCAATAAAGCGGAGAGGATATTGCATTAGGAGCGAAGGAAAAAGGTTGAGTGATAAAAAAGAAAGGCTTATATAAGCTCTCGAAATCTCTTTGGGCGCAGTTAAAAGTTAACGAGCGCGAGAGGGACATTCAAATGGTTACGTTCCATTTTCTAAATGATTATTGTCTTACCCTTCGCTTGTGAGAAACTTTTTTTTGCAAGATCGTGCTGCACTTCAAGTTCTGTTGCAAGTTAAGTGATAAATTTCGCGAAGAACGAATTTCTTTAAGTTCTGGAAAAATTTAAATTTTTCGTCAGATTATAACGGGCGTTCGACACCCCCCTTTGCGATTCTTTTCCTTTTTGTTTCAGTCGACCGATTCTCCCCAAAAAGTTAACAGTCGGTGTATGGTTGTGAATGTGATGGGACTCGAGTTTTGTCAATGTTGAATAAATTTTGTGATTAGTTGAGTTCTGAAATAAAATTTAAATCTTTCTTCGAATCGTTTCCTTTTGTTTCAGTCGATCGATTAGCTCCAAAAAGTTAACGGTCAGTGTTTAGTTCTCTACAGGGGCGATCGTTGTGAGGGTGAAGAGTTTTGTGAGTGTTATATCTAGTTAAGTCCTCTACAAGGAGGTCATTGTGAAGGTGAAAAGTTTTGTGTGCGTGTTATCTAGTTAAGGTTTCAGATTCGAGTTATTTTCAGATATGTTTCTCTATCATCTCTCGCAAGAAAGCAGCGTAGCGTACTGCGAAAAGACCAAAATGAACATCGGTGGTAAGTGCGAAAAGGTTAATATGCATAAACGATAATTTTTTCCTCTCGTTTTCTTTTGTTTGCCATTGTCGTACCTCCGAATTGTTACCTGCATTTGTTTTACGACAGCAAGTTCTCTACAAACGAAATAACATGTAAACGCTATGTTGAAAATCCAAGTCGGAGCAAAAACGCCATTTGTTGTATATATTTATGTTTGAATTTTCTTTTTGGCGGTAAACCCGAAATGCATTAACCATTGATAAAAATTCGATAAACTTTCAAATAGCCCAGACAAATAGGACCTCGTGCCGAAAGCGCTACCTATCGACGGAATACCGACGATTCCCTCGTGTAAAATACACACTCACACAGCATTGCCCAAGCGTATGTCTGTACCGTAATACGCTATATAGCATCTTTGACTTCAACAGCACACATTATATACATATATACAGCAGTTGCCTCAGCTGCGTAGTTGCTTTGTCCGCGTTTTACGTGCCTTCAACTGGCTATATTTGTGTGTGTGTGGGTATACGTCAACGAGAGCGGGGACGTGGTGGTGTAGCGTACGGAGTTCTAGCTCGCGCGTATACGTATGTGTGTGTGTCTCTCCCGTCTTCTTCTGTCTCTCGAAGTGCGCAGCCAGCGCGACTCCGTAGTCCACTACATTTACACGCACACAGAGGCACACGTACACGCACACAAGGCAGGCCAAAGTAAAATGGAGTCAGTACAGGTATACTTGCGCACGGCCGAAGATGCATGAGCAATCGTCTCTCGCGATTTAACGTACATCTCGGCTCAAGAACGAGCTGATTTCTATTTTTTTTTTTTTGTTGGTTGTGTTGTTCGTCGTGGTTTATTCGAGGACCAGCAGTAGCAGAGAGAGCTGATCGTGTAATCTCGTGTGCACGCAAGTGTGTGCACTCTGTGTGGTGTGCAGGCGCTCGCGGGTGAGATCAGCAGCAGCAGCAGCGCATCGCAAGTGAGAGAGAGAGAGAGAGAGTGAGCATCAACGAGGCTCAAGATGTTTCCGTCGTTGAACTCGGTGCTCGGCTCGCCTGGGGCCACGACGGGTAGGTGTCCATCGCCCACGAGCCCGTCGAGCACCTCCGTGTCCGGTGTGACGGCGGCCAACGTGGTCGACGGCGAGAGCAGCAGTCCCACGCAGCAGCAGCAGCAACAACAAACGACGCCGAACAACGGCAGCAGCAGCAACAACAGCAACAGCAGCCAGCAGAGCCAGAGCCAGCAGAGCTCGGCCCTGGTACTGTCGAATCCCCAGAGTCGCCAGGTAGCCCGCGGCGATGACGACCATACGCCGCCGCAGCCGCCGGATCTGCCCATATTTACGTGTCCGCGCAGGCCCAACATCGGCCGCGAGGGCCGTGTCATCGGACTGCGCGCCAATCACTTTCAGATCACGATGCCGCGCGGCTACGTGCACCACTACGACATCAACATCATCCCGGACAAATGCCCGCGCAAGGTGAATCGCGAGATCATCGACACCATGGTGCACGCCTACGACAAGATCTTCGGCAATCTCAAGCCCGTCTTCGACGGCAGGAGCAATCTCTACACCAGGGACCCGCTGCCGATCGGCACGGACAAGCTCGAGCTCGAGGTCATCCTCCCGGGCGAGGGCAAGGACAGAGTTTTCCGTGTAACCATCAAGTGGGTCGCCCAGGTGTCGTTGTTCGTGCTCGCCGAGGCTCTGGAGGGTCGTTCCACTCAAGTACCCTACGATGCTATTTTGGCCTTGGATGTCGTCATGAGACACTTGCCTTCCATGACCTACACACCTGTTGGTCGGTCGTTCTTCAGCAGCCCCGATGGCTATTACCATCCCCTGGGTGGCGGCAGAGAGGTTTGGTTTGGCTTTCATCAGTCTGTGCGCCCATCATTGTGGAAAATGATGCTGAACATAGATGTTTCAGCCACAGCTTTCTACAAGGCTCAGCCTGTCATTGAATTTCTGTGTGAAGTTTTTGACATTCGTGATATAAGGGAACAAAAGAAACCACTTACAGATTCGCAAAGGGTTAAATTTACAAAAGAAATCAAAGGACTGAAAATTGAAATTACACATTGTGGTAATATGAGAAGAAAATACAGAGTATGTAATGTCACTCGCAAAGCAGCTCAAATGCAATCATTCCCACTTCAGTTAGAAAATGGCCAAACAGTTGAGTGTACTGTTGCAAAATATTTCAATGATAAGTACAATATGAAATTAAGGTATCCTCATTTACCTTGTTTACAAGTTGGTCAAGAGCACAAACATACATACTTGCCTCTTGAAGTATGTAACATTGTGGCTGGACAGAGGTGTATTAAAAAATTAACAGATATGCAGACATCGACAATGATCAAAGCTACAGCCCGTTCTGCACCAGATCGTGAAAGAGAAATCAACAATTTGGTTCGAAGAGCTGATTTTAACAAAGATTCTTACGTTCAAGAATTCGGTTTAACTATCTCCAATTGTATGGCAGAGGTTAGAGGTAGAATTTTACCTCCACCCAAGCTTCAATACGGTGGCAAAGTCAGTTCAATGAGTGGCCAAACCAAACAACAAGCCTTACCAAACCACGGAGTCTGGGATATGAGAGGCAAGCAATTTTTCACCGGTGTTGAAATTAGAGTTTGGGCTATTGCCTGTTTTGCTCCTGAACGTACCTGCCGTGAAGATGCAATTAGGACATTTATATCAAATTTACAAAAAATCAGCAAAGATGCAGGCATGCCCATCATTGGTTTGCCATGCTTCTGCAAATACGCCCAGGGTGCCGACCAAGTCGAGCCCATGTTCAGATACTTGAAATCACAATTTCCAGCTCTACAACTTGTTGTAGTAGTTCTGCCAGGTAAAACTCCAGTTTACGCCGAAGTAAAGCGAGTGGGTGATACTCTATTAGGAATGGCCACACAATGCGTTCAAGTCAAGAATGTAAATAAGACATCTCCACAAACCCTGTCTAATCTGTGCTTGAAGATCAACGTTAAACTTGGAGGCATCAACAGTATTTTGGTTCCAAACATAAGACCAAAGGTATTCAACGAGCCCGTCATCTTCTTCGGCGCCATCACCACGCACCCACCAGCCGGTGACAGCAAGAAGCCCAGCATAGCAGCCGTCGTGGGCAGCATGGACGCCCATCCATCCCTGTACGCCGCTACCGTTCGAGTGCAGCAGCATCGCCAGGAAATCATTCAGGAGCTCAGCTCGATGATCAGAGAGCTGCTGATAATGTTCTACAAGAACACGGGTGGCTACAAGCCGCACAGAATCATTCTTTACAGGGACAGCGTGTCCGAGGGACAGTTCCTGCACGTGCTCCAGCACGAGCTCACGGCGATCCGCGAGGCCTGCATCAAGCTCGAGTCCGACTATCGTCCGGGCATCACGTTCGTCGTCGTGCAGAAGCGCCACCACACCCGGCTGTTCTGCGCCGACGCCAAGGAGCAGAGCGGCAAGAGCGGCAACATACCCGCCGGCACGACCGTCGACGTCTGCATCACCCACCCGACCGAGTTCGACTTCTATCTATGCAGTCACCAGGGCATCCAGGGCACCTCGAGGCCGTCGCACTATCACGTGCTCTGGGACGACAACAAGTTCGAGAGCGACGAGCTGCAGTGCCTCACCTATCAGCTGTGTCACACGTACGCCAGGTGCACGCGCTCCGTCAGCATCCCGGCGCCCGCCTACTACGCGCACCTGGTGGCGTTCCGCGCGCGCTACCACCTGGTCGAGAAGGAGCACGACAGCGGCGAAGGATCTCATCTGTCCGGGGCCAGCGAGGACTGGACACCCGGGGCTATGGCCAGGGCCATCACTGTGCATAACGACGTCAAGAAAGTTATGTACTTCGCGTAGATTATATTGATCTTCTGAATAGTTTTTAGGGGTACGATTCACATTCTTCTATATTTTTTTTTCATTTTTTTTTTTTGTAAGAAAATACAAAGATGTCTTGCAATATTTTCTTTAATCAAGCCGGGGATTCTTCTATTCTATGTTTGAACGACATAATAATACAAAAAAGTAATCATGAATTGTAAAAACATGAAGTAACAAGTAATTGTTATTAAGTTAAAATCACTCCAGACAAATTGTGAAGATTTTTAGATAAAAATCCAGCTAAAATAAGCTACCCTCTTAATATTTCATTCTATTTAAAGATGAAGTTCTTATTAGAAAATATGTAACCAAAACTATAGCATGTATTAAGTGATGGATAGAAACTCTATTCTAATATTTATTTTACATTAGCTTTGGTGTAACGAAGCTAAAGTGTTTTTTTTTACTATTTAATTTTTTTTAAGTGATTGCCTATCACTGCATATATATTTTGTTAAATCATAGTTCGTTTCATAACTAACCCAATATATATGTCTTTCTTATTATGTTGCTATCTCTATTATCATTATAGATGAAAAAATTAATGAGCAAAATTGAGAAAACGAGTGATTGAAAAAATTAACCAATTTAAATGTGAATTAATTAGAAAGTACAAATGAAGAAGTTATAGATACAGTATCTGTAAGATAAAAAAAAAATAAATTTCCAACCAATTCGAAAATTGTGAAAGCGAAGAATTGGATTGTGATTCGGGCATATAAAAGTAACAATGTTGAAAAAATCAATATAGATGAATAATAGTTTAATAATCATTTGCCAAGCGATTCTATTTTGATGTACCTATTAAAGATGTGTATCTTCAATGATTGTAACTTAATTATGCTAATAAATGTAAGTTTCACTATAAATGCATTGTGTTCGTACCGCATTCTTCTCAATTTTCACCAACTTGCAGAATTTACTATTTTTTTGTTCTCTCACCCCTCAACATCAGCAGCACCAGCAACAGCAGCCCTTGGCACTTTGAAAGTTTCGAGCGCGCACGCAAGTTTTCCAATAAAATTATCGATACTTATACGAAAAATCCTTTTTCCGAAACTTCGAACGCGCCCCGAAAGTTTTTTTTATTTTCTCTCTCTCTCCCTCTCAAAGTGTCAATTTTTATTTCTCCACGCGCGTGACATTCTCATTACCGGAAGTTTTATTTATAACGCGCCGAATCGAAATCGCGTACGTCGTTTTTCGTAAAATAATTCATTATCCGCTCGCGTTTGTAATTATGCCACGCGTTGGTAATACGATATAGTTGCTTTGCATTTGTAACGCATGATTTGCAACCACCTACTACGCACGTGTACGGCGAGCAGAGCTTTATCTTCCAAAAAGCTCGCTCGACCCAGACGTTTTCCTTGGCCTGTGTGGAAAAGCTTTTCTTACGGCGTTGCGTTTATCACTCGGCTAAAAGCCAGACGTTCGTACATGAAAGGAGAAAAAGAGGTACACAACACTAAAAGGTCGAGGGTGCGTGCCGATTCACGCAGCAGCAACAAAAAAAAACAGTAAGAAAAGGTAAACGATTTTTCCCTTGAGCCCGATGAGAGAAAAGTGACTCAAGTTTGCACTCGGTATCTCTATCTACGGTCGCGATCGCAGATAGCTCGTCTCGATACATTGTTCAATAATATAATATCAAATATTTATTCATCTTGAGTAAATGCTGTGACGCGCGCGCGAGAGAGCCCCATTTCGTCAATTGTAAATCATGCCAGTCGATCAAGAACACGAGTCGCAAGGCAAAGGAAAAAAAAACATTGTTCCAAATAGTCGTAGTCATGGTTCATAATTTGTTTTTCCTCTTCTCTCTCTTTTCGGTGTTAACTTGTATTTTAATCGAATTCTAAACGCATCCCAAAAAGCTTTTCTCCGCAAAAAGGAGCTTTTTCAAAAGATCTCTCTCTTCACTCACTGATCTTCTTGTGTCTATCTAATACGTATATAAGCAAAGGTACGAAATGCGGAGGCATACTCTATATCTATATATCCATGTGTATACCGCGGCAGCTAGAGAGTCGAGTTAAAGGGGGTGAATCGCGTGCACTGCAATAAGGAAAAAGAGGGAGGGGAGTCTGTCTCTGTCTCTCTCTCTCGGCTCGGTACGACTATGGAGATACGAACCACATCGGCAGTCTCGACTAAAGCGCGCGGCGAGCAGCAGTAGCAGCAGCGAGCATAGTGTGCAGTGCATGTGCTGTACGCGCGCGACACGCTGTTGTTGTCGTTGTGCTTGTGCGCTCGGAACGGCAACCACCTATATAATATTGTTTATCGCTTACGATATTGTTGCTCGTAACAAATATACATCGTGCATCTAAATGTGTGTGTGAAAACAACCGTGTAAATTTTTTTCTTCCCACGACGATAAAATAGATAAAAAAAAAGTGAGAAAAAAGCACGGCGGCACACCTTGTATATCGCGGTACATAAATAGTGCGGTGCAAGTTTTTTTTTCCTGGTGCTAAATAATTTCACCCCGTCGTAATTTCCTCATTTTTAAATTCGAGATTATACACACACGGAGCTTTTACGCCTTTGAACGTTGATTGTCGATCGATCGCGCAATACACTCCTAGAGCGAGCGAGCTTTTTGTAACAAAAAAACAGAGAGAGAGAGAGAGAGAGAGAGAGAGAGAAAAAAGAATTGCTCATGAAAAATAAATTCGGCTTACTTTCTTTCCTAGCTCGGAGCGAGTAAGCGCGCGCTTTGAACCGCACGACGCATGAATTCGGCAGTAGTCTCTAACGCTGATTTTCACTTCATTTAAATAAAAAAAAAAAACAGCGTGCATAGCCAGATCGATCTAGCCGAGCGAAGGAGATTATAAATTATTTATCGATACGTTACGTAAGTACGGAGACAAAAAAAACGCCGTAGTATAGGTACACGCGAAATCTCTCTAATTTCTCGTCTCTTTCTGGGCTTTGTATCGCACTTGACCCGTGAAAATTGCAGAAAACGCTGCTGCAGCGTCGTCGCAGCCGCGAACCGTGAATGAATTATAATAATATTCTGGCACGTGAAAAAGAAGCTGCTGCTACTCTACACACACGCGCGGGTCGCGTTGCTTTTTTCCTGCTACTCTGCGGCCGACATGCTACTAGTACCACCCGCACGGACAACCACGACGATGAGACGAGAATAGCGCGTAATTAGGGAAAAAAGGAGGAGATAGAAATTTCGCTGTCTTTTCCTTCTTACTTTATCTATTTCTTTGTTGTGTGTTGCCTCCCTTGTGCAGAAAAATCTAGTATGACGAGTGCGAGGACGTGTGCGCGCGAGTGTGCGTAAATTGAAGGCAAAAAAGAAAAGTAAAGTGAGAAATCAACTCGATCGTATATAGTTTTAACATAGTGTCAAAAAAAAATATGTGTGTGCGTTGAAAAGAAAAAGAAGAAAAGCAGAGCCAAAAAAAAAAACCACCGGATAGATCGGTAGACTAGACTCGATCAACGAGGCGCAGCGTAGCATCAGAGCTTCGTGCACGGATCGCCTCTACTCCAGCTCTAGTACAGCACAGGTAAAAGCTCCTCGTCCGCATTGTGAAATATTATAAAACGTTATAAATCCCGCGCGTTCGAGCTTATAATCTTCCCAAGTATAAAACTCTTCCTCTATCCATTGTGCACGTAATGAGTAATTTGCTCGAATCCGTGCGTAAGAGTATGAATAACATTTTGGATTACGAATATAATGCAACCTATTTACTTTATTGTAGCGCGAGAGGCTTATGGCAATTTTAGCTTTCGAGCTTTTGGCAGTAGAGGGGTGGGATATTATTTATTCGCTCCGCGAGCGGAGCTTGCTGGCCGGGGACGATCGACGTAAACGTAAAATTGAGTTTCAGCGGCTGCATGTATTATGTAAAATGTGCACCCATGATTATTAGGAGGAGTGCCTTTATACGATCGAAACCGATGGGATTGAAGAGAGAGATAGAGAGGTGGGCAATAAAAGCTCTGCGGTGTGTGGCAGATTCGATGACGCATAAACTCGTTTTATCGTTTTCGTTCTCCCGATTCTTTTACTCTTTTTTTCTTTCTCTCTCTCTCGCTGTCTCTCCTTTTTTCGTTTTTCGTTTCGCATATGTATAAATCCATGCAGCAGTTTTGTTCTCGTACAGCATTAATTACAGAAACGCACGCCCGCGCGCGTCACGACGTTTAATTGTCGCGAGTTAATTGCCATCCACCCGTGACGCGCTCTTTGACTCCCCTTTTTTTCTGCGTACGTATAATATTTTCAACCGATCTTCGCATTATAACTGGCACATCTTGATATATCATATTCATCCTCGTCGTTCAATCAGTTTTTCCCGAAAGCCGATCAATTTTCCTATATACTTATCCTTTCCTCGATTATGGAAAAAAAAAGAATCTCTCGGATTCGGGGTCACGACACAAATGTCCCTCCATCCATCCGTTTGTTTATACACTACCCTCTCTCTTCGTCGCAAGACGACGCGCCTTTTTTTTTTTTTATTATAAGAAAACGATACATCGCGTGCGGAGGCGCGAAAGCTATTATAGCGCGGCTTGTACTGCAGTAGAAAATGATAATTATAGAATAATATGCGGGTCCTTTTGCATATAATGCATTGTATCATGAATGGATGCTTGCGGGGTGTATAATTTGCACGCGTGCCCTTACGTAAGATCGCGAAGAGGGAGAAAACTTCATTGACAGCCTAAAAATAGCTCTGTCAATTGGAAATTATGTCAATAAGATATTATAATATACACCAGGAATTTCTCGAATATTGAAATTCTCGCGCTCTGCATGTGGAAGTCAATACTTGTTACGTAGGGTTTATGATTAATATATATAGCGAACTCGCAATTCGATTGATTACGTATTATATGTATTATTATAGGCGTAATAATAGCCGAAGGAAAAAATTTATCCGTGTACGCATAATTTACAGTACAGGTACAGTAGCAGTGGAGCAAGCTCGGGTTTAATGCAAAATTATCACTCGAAGTCGGTGGTTGTACACACACACGACGTTAGTTAGATAATCGCCCCTGGCAACGTGA